AGCTATAGACGAAGAGACCATTACATTTCCGTCTCAGTCGTTCGATGTTTTAACTTTTAGGAAGCGTAGTAATTATTTTCAAGGACACCATCATCGTGAAGCCAATCACCAACCTCGTCGCAACTCCGCGAATAACAACTTTAGCAGGTTTACCGGTCATCGTGGTGCGAGTTTCTACCGTGGCCGTGGCCGTGGACGTTCTTCCCAAAACTATACCCGAGGTCAGCCAAGGCAATATCGAGGTACGTACTATAATTCTTATCTTAGATATAATAACACCAGAGGTCATCAAAAGAACAGCCAACGTTCTGATGCTCATATTCATGTTCTAAAAAACGATGAACCCTCAACATCTAATTCAACCGAGGAGCAGAGCAAGTTTTTTCGTGAATAATGGGTTTGTATTTGCAAGTAACAGTAATTGTTACGTAGAATTGTACGTAGATACATCAGCATATTTATTTTTGATTGACACCGGTGCTACAATTAGCGCTATTAAATATAAACATGTAATTGAATTAAACATACCTATCCATAAAAAGAGCATTAAGATAAGCGGAATCGGAGGCACCGTAGAAGCAATCGGATATGTTTATTTAACCATGAGCAATTGTTATGATTTAGGAGGACAAACATTTAAGCAGAAGTTTTATGTTTTTAATTCTTTGCCGTGTATGGCACATGCTATTTTAGGACAAGATTTTCTGATGAAATTCAATGCTGTATTAGATTATGGCTGCAGAAGTTTAACATTAAATAATAATGATACAAATGTAATTTTGCCTTTAAAACTATATAATACAAGAGGTTCTTATAATTTAACTTTGCCACCTAGGTCCGAATCAATTCATTACATACCTACTGATATTACTGAAGAGTATCTTGTTTGTTCGTCAGAATTACGGACAGGAATATTTATTGCCAACTTGTTAGTTAAACCCATAAATGGTGTGATACCTATTTTGATCCTAAATACAAACGAAACAGAGGCTTATATTGACACAATTGATCCAAAATTACAGAAAATTAGTGAATATAATTTGTGTACTTTTGAACAGTGTAGAAATATTAACGCAGATAGAGTTCGAAAGTTATTCAGCTTGTTAAGTTTAAAACATTTGAACGAGGAAGAGCAAATTACTATAGGAAATATTTGTGCGAAATTTGCCGACATATTTTTAATGCCCGGTGATAAGTTAACAACAACAAATATTTACAAACATAAAATTAGTTTACTACCTAACGCTCAACCAGTTTTTAGTAAACCATATAGAATACCATACTCGCAAAAACCAGAAGTAAACAAGCAGATTAGCAGCATGTTACGAGAAGGTATAATTGAACCATGTCAATCAGAATGGTCCAGTCCAATGTTACTGGTCCCTAAAAAGGCAGATAATACAGGCAATAAGAATTGGCGCTTAGTAATAGATTACAGGAAATTAAATAACTGCATACAAGAGGACAAGTTCCCTCTCCCAAATATTACTGAAATTCTAGATTCGCTTTCTGGTTCTGTATACTTTACTACACTTGACCTTTCTAATGGGTATTACCAATGTGACCTTGACTCCGACAGTCGAAAATACACAGCATTTTGTTCGGGACAGTTTAAAGTTTCCGAGAACGAAGGGAAAAGTACTGCTTCCTTATCTGGACAATACCAGATGACGAGAATGCCAATGGGCTTAAAAACGAGCCCTAATGCATTTTCAAAAATGATGACTATCGCAATGTCAGGATTGACATATGAGAAGTGTCTAGTATATCTAGATGATCTTATTATTTTTGGAAATTCATTAGAAAACCATAACAAAAACCTCATAGATGTTTTTACTAGATTGCGTCAGGTAAATTTAAAATTGAATCCCCGTAAATGTAATTTTCTTAAAAAGGATATATTATATTTAGGACACGTTATAACGAGTGAAGGTGTTCTGCCCGATCCTGAGAAAATAAGTGCTTTAAGTAACTGGCCAGTACCGAAAAATGTTGAAGAATTAGTTAGGTTTATCGCGTTTGCCAACTATTACAGAAAGTTTATCAAAAACTTTGCCAATATAGCTTATCCTTTAACAAAACTAACAAAGAAAAACGCATCATTCATATGGGATCAAGACTGTCAAACTGCTTTTTCTACTTTAAAGTCTATAATTTCTAGCCCTCCCATACTTCAATACCCAAATTTCTCTAGTAATCATAAGTTCATTTTACAAACCGACGCTTCTAAATATTCGTTGGGTGCAGTTTTATGCAATGACAACAGAAAACCGATAGCATTCGCGAGTAGAAATTTAAATAAGGCCGAGATTAATTATCCCACCGGGGAAAAAGAGCTGTTAGCAATAGTGTGGGCAGTAAAACATTTCCGTCCATATTTGTATGGCCGTACATTTGTTATTGAAACCGACCATAAACCTCTTATTTATTTATTTGGCATGCGTGACCCATCTAGTCGTCTCTTAAAATTCAGACTTCTACTTGAAGAGTACGATTTTATCGTACAATATATTAAAGGATCGACAAATATTCCAGCAGATTCAATGTCACGATTACCTATTACATCAACTGACTTAAAAAATATGCATGAAAGTATACTCACGGTTATGACGCGTTCACAATATAGGAAAGTGCAAGCGTCGCAACATTCTCCAAGTGCTATGGGTACTACTGACGATTGGCCTGCGCAACCAAGAGTCGTGGAGATTCATAGTAAATCGAGGATGTCTGTAGAACTTAAATTTATAGATGATGATAAGTTAAATAACCTACGTAGGTCAAATGACATAGACTTGGATAGCAAAGAGTTTTGTTATTCGTCATCAAAAATGACGTTATTTATAAATCCAGTTGCCCGATCACAATTGACGCCAGCCGCATTTGTGAGGGAACTAAAATGTTTTTGTGAAAAAATTAACGTGCACGAATTAATTTTTATAAGAAATAAAATCTACGATGAATTTATTAAAAAAGTAGTGACAGAAATAAAGTCATATAAAAACTGGACCGGTCCGCGATTGTGTATATTAAACGATGTAAAAATAATTGAAAACAAGGATGATCAAAAAGTAATATTAAATGATTTTCATCTTCTACCAACAAGTGGCCATGCTGGTATAAGACGAATGTATAATAACATCAAAAAGTATTACTTTTGGTCAGGCCTTGAAAAAGATGTAAAAGAATTTATTAAAAAATGTGATAAGTGTCAAAGACAAAAACATACTTCTCATTACGTTAAAGAACCGTTAATTGTTACAACAACAGCTAATTCAGCAATGGAAAAAATATTCTTGGACGTAGTAGGACCCTTAGATCGAGATGATTACAATTATCTTTATATTTTAACTATACAATGTGAGCTGAGTAAGTACGTAGAAGCTTACCCTATGAAGACAAAAAGTGCTGAGGAGGTAGCGAGAAATTTTGTTAACCATTTTATACTTAGATTTGGTATCCCCACTAAAGTAGCTACTGATAGAGGCACTGAATTTTTGTCATCTGTTTTCAAAGAAACATGTAAACTTCTCAACATAACAACTCTAAACTCTACCGCATACCATCACGAAACCATAGGTTCTCTGGAAAACACTCATAAAAGTTTGGTTAATTATCTAAGAATTCAAACGGACAACCATCCAAATTCATGGAGTATATGGTTGCCCTTTTGGTGCTTTGCCTATAATACCTCAGTTCACACCGCTTCTAAATTTACGCCATTTGAGCTTTTATTCGGAAAAAAATGCAATATACCATCCAATTTAACTAAAAACTCAGTAAATCCATTGTATAACTGTGATAATTATCCCTTGGAATTAAAATACAGATTGCAAACTTCTCAAAAAGAAGCGTATGAAAATTTATATGAAAGTAAATCGGCAAGAAAGCAAAAGTATGATCTAAAGTGTAATCCTATTACTTATAAACAAAACGATTTAGTACTGGTAAAAAACGAGACAGGAAATAAACTCCAGAGTATTTATAATGGACCATATTTAGTTATCAAAGATGTTTCACCAAATGTTGAAATATTGAAAGATAATGGGAAAACCGATTTAGTTCATAAGAATAGGACTAAGCTGTATTATCCATAATATTTTTATACCCCTATATTTTTTGTGTTCATGTGTTTTCACATAGGAACATTTTATTTTGTAAGTTATACTTATCTTGTAATCTTATTCATATTAACCTTATACTCTTACTTTATACTTTTGTATGTCTCAATTAACATTAATTAACTATGAACTAAAATGTAAAAAAAAAGTTTTGTATGTTAATCATGTTTAATCATAAAAATAAAATAATACTAACATAATATTTTATTTTATCCCTCCGGGGAAGGTGTAGTGTATACCTATAGTTCTAAGTTCGCATATATCAATGTATCTTACTCGTGTATTTAAATATCAATCCTTATTAATAAAAGTCAGTATTTAATCAGCAGTCAAGTGTTTTACTCAATACAATCCTTACACACGACTATCAGAGCAATCCCGAAAGTACGGAGTTTTGAGTGTGGGAGAGCCATGCTTCGGCACGAATGGGTCGGCTCGACCGGAGTGATACCACGGCCTCACAAAAAACCGGCGTGAAACAAGCACAACGCTTTGTTTCGCCTTGTGAGTGAGGTTACAGAAGAACCAATCCTTCTTTCCCTTCCCCAATTCTTAAATCTCCGGAACCCTAATCCCCAAAACACTCTAAAGCCAATGTTCATAAGTGGTGCCCATTGCTTTACCGCCTTCTTGCATCATTAATCCGACTGTTCAATTGATTGATTGTAATAGCACCACATAAAAAATACTCAACAATTATACATTTAAAAAACAGATAAAGTGTAATGAAGATTTTACAACTTATTTTAAATTCTATTTTTTTTAATCCATCTTGATAGTAAATTGAATTAATACAAAATTAAACCTTAATTGGTACATCACTAAACTGGACTGATAGCTGACAGTTCTGACATCTGCCAGTGATTACAATAAATACAGATAAAAAATGTTGCTTTTGTGCGCTATGCATTGATTTGATAGAATAATATTCTAGAATCTAGAAAGTCTAGAAATAAGTAAAGTTGTATTAAGGATATTGCAGTGTTGTCGTAACTATTATACACATACACAAACATGTCTAATGTATTTGGGTTAATTGTATCAGGGCGCCTCGTAAGTAGAATTCTAAGCATTCATCACTTCTTCAGACTGTTTGATCTCAGCACTCATTTAAAAAGCGTTTCGTGAATGTAGGTCCAGACAGACTTTGCGCCACTGTCGGAGACTCAGTTCCTCATCACTATCACGGAAGCGGATAATATTAACCATGCGGTGGTCTTCTTAACTGGGGTCGCGCCGCTGCCGGCCGGTACCGTGGGTATGGTTTATTGGAGCTGGCCGGACCCAAGTGCACCACCCAACTGGCAACTTCTAGGACATATTTCGAATACGAAACCCTCCGCTATCTTCAAAATAGGAACTCTAAAAAAGCTACACGAACTATCAAGTAAGATTGTTTAATTAATTCAATGATAATACTTTAATGAGTATTCGAGGTTTTTACAAATTGAGTATCTCACACTCTGTAACAGTTCTTTTTTCTATTAATTGATAGAATATTATTCACAAAACATGCACTGCAAGTAATACAATATTATGTTAATACTAAGACATTATGTGTTTGGTATCTGCAACTATTTCTATATTAAATGTTCTTGTTTTTATTGACAGGTGAAAACAAATTTATAAGTGCGTTTGGTCAACAACAGATATGTCACAATGCACAGATTGGTATAGCTATTGAACCTGAATCAAATGTTCAACTGCTTGCTTCCTCTGTAGTAAGTACATTATTATTACTTCTTTACTTGGTTAAAATTTTAAATTGGTTCACAGTTTGTGTTGCAATGTAATTTCCCATGTGCTATTAGTCATCAGTTTAAACAATAATTTAGTGGCCTACACAACTCCAGTTATTGTTTTGAATGTGATGTGTATGTAAGGGTGTCACAGAATTTAATGTCCAACTGAAACCAGCTTGTCTCAGTTATAAGCATTATCAGGCTTTATTGCTATTTTTGTAATTTGTATGCTGAGCAACTATTAAAGTTAAAAAATAAATAAATAAATTCCAAGTGTAAACATCTGTTGATCCATCCATAGTTACAAACTTTCACATTTGTAACATTACAAGTATTTTGATTCAGTCTCTAAGAGAATCTATGGTTGAAAGATTAAATTCAACTTTGAAAGCAGTTTAACACTTTAACACAGCCACATAGGTCACCACTCACCGGTGACCTATGGTAGCGGAGAATATGCCACAGAGATGCGATGCGATGACACCAAGTTCGTCAAGTTCAACAATAGCTCCCATAGCTAAAATCCTGGCGTGTCAGTACTGTACCATACAGTATCATTTTTCGCTAGCGTCTTCTTTCCAGATTTTATCCCTTCCATTGACTTACCATTCTTGAGCTTCTTGCCGTAAATTTAGAGTTACGCCACGCCAACGCCAACATTGGATACTGTATAGAGTCCAAGGCGCAACTGTCTGGTAGGAAGTTGGGCCTTTTCTTGAGGGTACTACATGCTGGAACTGTATAAATGGAATACTGCTCTCATTTTTCGGACGGCCCGGCTAAGTACTTATAATACAGGCGCAAAATTCACAAGCCTTTCGGTTTTTTACCGGATACACTTTGGAGAGTGTGAGGTTAGCTGCACAACTTGATTTCACTTACCATTTCCATCGTACCACCGAACAATCGGCAAAACGTCATTACTACAGGATGGAAATCCCAACCGCACGCACAAATCGATTCACCTCCAGATTTTCATCAAAACTGATAAAGCGATTTTTAATAAGCCGGATTCAGCGTTCTCCGACATTTATTGAAAATTACAACTTACCTACTCACTTGAATTAAAAGAAAAAATCTTTATAATCTTCCTCTTCTTTGGGCGAAGACATTGGATGCTTTCCGCACTAAATAAGCTTTAGTTCGCAATGACCAGAGGAACAAGTCTTGTACTCTAATACATTTCACCCTCAGCAGCATGTTGCACTGAAACAAACAACATGAAGGCGCGCGCACATTTAAATGTTTAGCAGTTGTAGATGACTGTGTCGGAAGCTGGTCGGAGGGACGTTCTCTGACGTTTTTATATGGGATAAGGCTGACCTGATGGCATCCATCCACGCCGTCCATGGATACCTACAAAACCAGATGGGTTACAATTTCCTAACTTGCCGCTGCCTTTGGGGGACGGGCGTTCTAAACCAAGCAAATTATTGTTACAGGCACAGCAACAAAACAACTACATTACATTCGCACAAAAGATGCTGGAACACCTGGTGAACTTCGTCGCTTCATTCTCTGTGACGCAGGACCAGATGACGCCGACTCCTGGCGTGTCGTACATCCCCTTGAATACGCTTCACACATGGTATCAGAACTTTGAGAGAAGACTGCAACAAAACCCTAACTTCTGGAAAAATTGAAACGATCTCAACAGTGTGCTGCCGGGGCGTGTCATGTAGCGTTGACATAGTATTGTTGTACAACAATATATTGCCAAGGTGCATAAAGCATAATTATATTCTTGCAAACTTGTTACACATTATTTGATTGGTCGTAACAGCGTATACGCGGCACGGGGTTCTGTACAAACTCATTGAAACTGATCCGATTTTAATGAAACCTGATACTCAGATATACGTTATATACCTATCATAATTTATTTCGAGTCGGGAAAATAAATAGTTTAAGGAGACAGGAAGGCAATTTTAAGTTCACCACACAAACATAAAATCGCGGTATAACTGCTTCATAAAATAATATTTCGAAATGCATAATTTTTTTAGAGATATGTAAATAATAATTTCATTAAAACCGTTTCAGTTGTTGTGGAAAAATCCGTGCAGCGTATACGCTCTTAAAATCTGCCAGGGTATGCATTCATAAATTATATTTTAAATTTAAATAATGATATTATAATTTACTATCCGCATATTATGATCTATTGTGAAATATTTGCACTTGTTATTGTCATTTAACAACAGCAAATGCATGCTTTTACGAAAAACTGCACCGCACCAAGTTACCTAGCTATCTACCACCTAACCTACTTTCACTTTAAAGTACCAATTTTTGGTATATAGCGACAAGTTTTTTGTAAAAACGTACATTTGCCGTTGTTATGACAATAACAAGTGCAAATATTTCTATACTGGGTACAGCGCTGTTACTTGGTACCGTGCATTCGTTGTAGAGTGTTTCGTTACAATGGGCTTGCGGTGCCACATTAGGCCGGCACGGTTACTGTACCGGGAACATTGCGCAGCGGCATCTCGCGGCGACCCCTAGCACGGCGGGTTACGCATGCCGCGCACAGACCACACTGAGCTCCACTAAACAAAACCGCTATACAAGGAACCATCGTCTCCCGAGATGCACTGGCGTGCCACGGCAACCTTTGGAATTAAACTGCATGCTTCGTCATGGCGCAGCATCCTTTTGCATCGTGATATCTAAATAAAGTAACATGAACTGTAACGTCATTCGAATAAGTTTCAAAATAATTTAATCAATAATAAAGTTCTTGAGCGCCGGCTCTTATTCGAGGTTTAATTTTTTAATCACACACAATAATCTACACACTTCAGTTGTAGTGCATGGTGGACATCTATATATTCAAATAAAATAACCTATTAACTACTAAATGCTTCTGGCAATACACGAGTTTACTTTGCAATACTTGTTTCCCGTGGAAACTGTGACCTTTCTGTACACTTTTATCTTTATTATTTAAATATTTTTGTAATGAGTTGCATTCACAAAGTTCCTGAAAGTAACAGCAATAAATATCCTGTCTGTGTAATTGAGAAAGACTGCTGTAAATGCTAAAGATTAACATTTTACATTAAACGTTTTGAAATCAATGCTGTCTGTCTGTCTTTATATATCATTTTAGTCTATACCTGTTCATATCATTAATAGGGTACGTTTAGGTTCGAAACCTGGCAATAATCAATGTGACTTTTTCAAACTAGTATGTACTTTCTATGATTATTTGTGTAACGCTGACATCGCTAATCCCCAGAGCAAGTGTAGTGATGGCCAAGGCTCAGCACTATTAGACTGATGTTGTCTTATGATCACTTCTAGGAACAATTTTCAAATTAAATTGTGTTACGCTTATTACACTTACCTCCATGACGACGACGTCCTGTCATTATCTGCTTTAGGGTTTAATGCCTGCGTAAGTAGCCAGTTGTCAGCAAAGTATATAAGTTTAAGATAATACATTATCTTAAAAAGAAGCAAGTTTCCAGAGGGATGAACTATTTCTTAGCTTACCTAAGTTGTGAAGCTTTATTTAGTCCCCACAGAACAAGTGACTTCATTAATCTATACTAATATTTTAAAGAGGTAAAATTTGTAAGTTTGATGTAGGGGGTAATCTTTGGAACCACTGCTGGTCAGATTCCCAAAAACCTTTCACTTATTGATAGCTACAATGTACCCGAGTGCTGTAAGCTATAAAACATCACGCTGCAATCAAATGGAGCCGAGCAGCGAGTGAAACCGTAGCTAGTAGCTAGTCTGATATAAAATCATTTAATCTGACATTTTAATGCAAATTGGTTTTGAAATAAATATGTTGAAAACTACAGGCTTGTTTCCCAGGTAAAAAAAATATTTTTGGCTTTTCAATACAACAGTGTGTAAAAATATAATTACACTTTTATTTATTGTTTTGATAACATACTTCATTTTAGTTGTCTTCTAGCATTTTTTCATCAAGACATGACATCAAATGTAGCAATTTCATATAAAACTCATAGCAAAGTATAGTTTTTTACTTTGACTAGTTGGAGACAACCGGATACAAGGTGTAATGGGAACAATATTGGTTGGTTCATTCTCTTTATTACAGAGTCTGTTTACAATGAGGTAACATAACAAATATTCTTCTGAACACATTAAAGGCACATGTAAAGGTAAACATTTTCATCCATTAATAAAGCCACGGAACACAGAATACAGACGACCCCCCATACGTAAATACACAAATATGCTGAAGTTCTATTTGGTTTCTTATATAAAATTACCAATACTCTAATCAAATGTAAAAGATCTAGAAGTTACCTGCTACTATTCCATTGTATTATTCCTACATTTATTATGCAACACAACCCCTTTGTTTCCCTGCAGGTTATGGCAGAGGTGGCACTTTAGGGAGTAACCACACCTCCTTGTCACTTGTATCTTAAGTACTTATATTAAGAATATTTTGTTTATCCTGTTAATTGAATCCTAGACTGTACTTGACTGTCAAGCCTGCAAGGAATGTAAACATTACATATGTAACTTATATTATTTTAATTTAAAAAATACCAATTTCGCTCCTGTTGCAGATAAAAATCTTTAAATAACAGAAAATATTGTTATTTTTATTGTATACTGCCAGTACATACATTTTCTGAGACATCTGCATCGAATATTTAATGTGTTGACTTCATCGATCGATTAACATGACATATAGAATTAGTTTTTGATAATTATTTGTGTTTCCAAATGAAACAAAAGTAAATTAAGAGCATATACGCAGCGCGATTTTCCAATCCAATCGATATAAGCATATGGAAACTATAGAACCAATTTTGATGTAACTTGGGGACCAAGGCTATACAACATTTCACGGTCAAAACACTTAATTAAGTATTCTGGCCAGTTATAATAACATTTCGTGTAACTCGGTCGATGGAAGAATGAGGAGGAGTGGTCGACCGTGCGAGTGTAGAGGCAGACCTTCACCTATTCTATGTGTTCCGTGGCTAAAGCGGGGCAATAATGGACTGTTAAACAAAAAATGTAATTCTAAATATGTAAATAACAATATTCTGTTGTACCTACTATCCGATATCTGTCTAAACCGCGCCGCGTCCGACGTAGCGCGCCACATCTTATTACTACTTTGTACTTGATATCAAACTTACGTTTACTTTTGAGATCCCCATTACAACTAAGCAACAATAAAATCTACTAGCCGGTCACATGCGGCTCTCGTAGATACACCTGCGCGCTACTGACGCTCGCGGAAGGCACTATCCGTTATACACTTTGTACGCCTCAACTTTACAGATCTCTTACTGCCGTGGAACTCTTCCAGTTGTACGGCAAATAAGGTCTGCAGTAGTAATTCGTATCGCGTTTTTTAATATCTCTCAGCAATAATACTAATCGATATGTAGTCAACTCACAACCACAGTGCTTGTAAAAATAAGAATAAATATTATACCCGTCGCCGCGCGGTGCTCGCATGAGATTGTTCCGGGCTGACGTTGAACATATAACATGATGGTAAGACGGGACGGAAGGTACGTCAGTCGCTGGCGGCCAGGAAGGGGTGCGCGAGCGCGTCGTGCGCGGAGATGCGCGTGCGCGGGTCGGGGTCCAGCAGGCGCGCCGCCAGCGCGAACGCCGCGTCCGGGAAGCCCGCCACGATGCGCCGCGGGTCGAACTCCTCCGCCTGCACCACGCCAAGCTATTTATTACTTCTGTCTTAGGGATGTTCTCTTCGAAATCTTATTGGAACGCTCGAGGCCCTCGTCCATATGAATGGGACTTTAACTACCTTCTTTTATAATTGAATGATATTTATAAGCTCCGCTTTAGAGAATTGCAATGTAAGATTCGGGGAATCGTGTGTTGATACTAAAATATTTTAAACTCAACAAGTTTTATGAACAAATACCTATTGAATCGATGTATTCTTGAGCCGCCGAAGCGGAGAGGGTCTGCGTAGGTAACTACTATTTATTTAGTAAATTGAAAAGTAGTCATAATGAAAGTTAGGAGAGTGACCTTTTTGCTGCGGTCTGGACAGAGGCAGTACTCGCGGCGGCAGACGCAGGGCGCGCGCTGCAGCGGGGCGCCGCGCAGGCGGGCCGCCAGCGCGCGCAGGCACACGCCGCGCCGCGAGCATGACGTCACCACGCGCCGCCCTGCGCGCATGCTCGGTATACACGACTGTCGCGACTCATGGTTACAGCTCTAGGTATATAAAATAGAGTTAGGCAAGGACAACGCACCGAGTGATGCGGCCGCGCGTTGCAGGGGCTCAGTGCCGACGAGGTCGGCGAGCTCGGCCAGGGCGGCTACGTCGTCGCTTGCACGGAAGAAGGGGTAGCGCGCCGTCAGCGCGCTGGCCAGCACCACCCCCGCCGCCCAGTTGTCGACGGCCGTGGTCTGGTGCGGGTACTTGAGCAGCACCTCGGGCGGACGGAAGCCCTGCGTGCCGGCCCGCGCGGCCCGCGGCGCGCCGCGCACCGAGCACAGGTTGCACACGCCCGCCACGCCTGCGCATGCGCAGCGCCCCGGTTTGATCCCCGCCGACGCTGACCTGGATCCCGCTGACCCGGACCTGGATCCCGCCGTCCCCGGCCTGGGTGACGCCACCACCGGCCTGGATCCACTCGCCGCTGTCTTTGGCACCGCCGCGACGTTGGGTCCTGCCGCCGCAGTAGCCGTAGTTCCCGCCGCCGCCGGAGCGCCCAGACTCAGGTCGAGCGCTATCCGCTTAGCAGCTGGCCCGTCCTCCTGGTAGGCAGTGCTCCGTGACTCCAACATACCTCACAGTGTATGAGCTACACTAACATGCAACCTTGTTTAATACACACCTCATCACGAACCCGTTTCCGTACGCCATTAGAGTGTGCTGGAGGCGGACCAATCATGGGGGTTCCTTCAGGCGCAGGACAAAGGCGCTGAGCTAGCCCGAAATCGACTAGCAAATATCTAAATTTCATAATTATCATTTAATATTTATTAACACATCCAGTGCCCCCAAAGCGTATGTGCGTGGCACTGAATGTGTTAATAACATGTTTATTGCTAACGGTTAATTGCATACTCATATTAACTATACTTAACTAATCTACACATACCTAAAATTTATATGTGGAAAAAAAACGTTGCCCCGCACTATATATTAAAAAAACAAGCTTCAACTTCCGTTCGTCATAATCATAATATAATATATTCGATATAAAAAAACATGTTAGATAAGTAGAGGGGTAAATCGTGACGACATATTTTTTGTCAAATATAATGTGTACTTTTTCAAAAAAGGAGAGAGATTCTCAATTCGAACGTTGTTAGGTTTTTTTAAATAGTCGCGGGTTTCTATTTTTATTACTATCGAGACTTCGAGCTCGGCTTAGAGGAGGGAGTAGTAGGTAGCGCAGGCGTCGTAGCGAACTTTGTGTGCGCGACTTAGGATTTTAACATTACATATTTTACACAGTCACCTCACCTACAAGGCTTAACACAACACCGCAACCCATGTTTCACTCCGGACGAGCCATTCGCGCGATCAGATGCACGATTCGTTGAGACTGAGGGCGGTCGGGCACTCGCGGCCACCCGATTTAGGAACACTACACCCCAGTCCATCGGAACTTAGGGCATTAGTAATCGTGCCGTCTGATCGGTGCTTTACACACATTAATTTTTAGGACATTTTACTACATACTTTTTATATATTAGTTCACTTCTGCCCATGTCTAACTCACGACAGGAGAAAATCCTAAGGTGAAACGTTTTTTTTTAATATAGTGTAATGATGTAAGATATGAGTGGCGTATGTGGGTCATATTGTATCTATTGCATACCGCTTGTTGTCTCGATCATACAAGAAGTTGCTGGGTTTGACATCCCGGTGGATGACCCCGAACGAGTGTACATGTCGCAAGGCCACCATCAGCGCTCGCATGTACTGCCGCAGCTCCTCGGCGTCCATCTCTCCTACATACTCCTGTTTCAAAGACAACATCAAGTTCTTAACATTTATCATACAAAGCGTCAGTTTCCAAACCCTTGTTTTTAGGAATAATTATAATATAATAAATCGAATGTAATTGTATAAATCGAAACCCTTCCCCGATCCCTCCCCATTAAATATCCGAAACCCTAAAAAGCCGGCAGCGTACTCGTAACTCCTTTGGTGTAGCAGGTGTCCAGGGACGGCGCTGATTGCTCACCATCGGGTTATCCGTTACAAAAACGAAAAAAAAGGTTTCCATTGTATATTTTACTAACTTCAGAAACCAATTCTTACTTATTGTTTATGTTTATTGCTCCAGCTTATTATTGTAATAGGGCATCAGGCCACGCCTATGTACCAGATTTTATTTGACCTGACGACATTGTTACACTTAGAAGGACTTACTGAAAACTTTCTATGAGGTATATAAGGCATTACAAAAACTATAGTATCCAAATTCCGCAGACAGAGCTCCACTCCGATGACATGCTCTTTGCCTCTAAAACAAATGAAAAATACAATAAGTTAATTACATTATTATTGAACTCAAACTTCATCAACTACAGCATTGCCATCTTAAGACTGGCCCAGCTCAACATTGCCTAATATTGACTACATTATGTGAATCCAACACTGAGTAACAAGCCAGGTTATCATTAAATCATTACTGGTTAGATGAATTTTAATTACAAAACTCCATGTTGTTGATATTTTTTTATAAGCTTTACAATTATTTTAAACATGAGTGCCCTGTAGCATATTAAAATCAAAAGAGACTAGAAGAATGTAGATACTTGGGTTCAGTTTGCAGTTGTCATGCTCAATCAAAAGACTCATTGGTGATACATATGCTGGATCAGTTGTTGCATTGTTGAACATGTTCATGTATCTTAATATGATGTCCTTGAAGTAATTGTATTTTGCTCATTCTATTAAATATCAGCGTTAGACTGTTCTCACATAATGCTCTCAATAAGAGGACTAGCAAAAACTTTCAACTTTTTATATTTAATTACTTAATGGGCAAAATATTGTTTTTGAAATAAATTTATCAACTATGGGTTATAAAGATCACTGCCTGGATAAACAAGAACTGCTCATATGGATGAAGGAAGATTTTACTTCTACAAGTCATGTGACCTACTGATTTTATTTTCAATCAATAAAACAATGAGAACAAAACTTTAACCATAGCCTTCCCTACTATCACCTTATTATTTTAAATCTAGGAACTTTGAGTAGAGGAGAAAGAAACCTGTAGTGTTTAGTTTAGTTTTTAAAAGACATCTGTGGAATAATTAATGCTGGTGTCGAGTCAGAATGTTCGTATAAGACAGTAACAGCAAGAATTTTATTCCTCAGATAACATTTATCTGCCTATCCAAATATCAGCTCTTAGTCTACTAATATAGCAAATGCAGTTGTGTACTCACTTTAAATTGTAGTAACTAGAGACACAATAGCAGAACAATAGGTTCATGAACGCCTGCATTCACTAGGAGTTTGATGAACTAAAGCAGTAGGCAGAAACTTCCCAGTGTATGCAATACTTAGAATAGCAGTGGATGAGCTCAAATATAGTAACAAACTGGAATACAAACCCAATATCCTGTAGACATTGCAGTTCATGTTCTATTCTAGCTGGGTGTGCAGTGGGTACTAGATGTTTGATAGCAAACCATCGCTTCTGTTCATTAGGAAGGGAGGCGTGTTGGCGTAGAGAACCAAGGTATACTGAGCTGAATGTACCCTCGCCAATCTTGCGATGAACCTCAAATATTTTGTCCAATCTTGGCAATTTGTGTAAGAGTTCATTTATTTGATGTTCTGAAAATAATCAAACATCACGAACATACACATTTTATCACAGACACATGTATATGATGTTTTGTTTAACAAATCTCACAAATAATGTTAAACACAAAATAGTTTAGTCTGATCTTCTACTGTAGTTAAACACTTACTTTCTACCTCATCTTTCGAATTTACGGATTGATCCTCATTTTTCTTTTTGAGAATTTCATTATGTTTATACTTCGATACTTGCAAAGTATCTTTTTGAACTATTCCTCTGATTCTCGACATCATTTACTACATAATTAAAAATACGCCTCCATTTAAATTCCGACTGTAAATATTGAAGTTAAATGGAACTGAAACATATCCCGTTGTGCTGGTGCTACCTATTTTTTTTTTTTGTTTTCTTCAGGTGAGGTGAGCTAAAACCATGTCAGTCATAACGTCAAATTGTCACACGTCTATTTGCGTGTAGGTAGGCAATTAGGGATGTGAAAATGTTCTCGATTCGAAAACTCAAATACTATGGTATATATTTTTCGTGTCGTTCTACAAAAAAGGTACTCGGGGCTGGCAATGAAACACAGGACATACTCTAATGCTTGGGCCACACTAACGGGAAATTCCAATAATTATCGCGATAACTGATGATATTAAACAAAGAAAAATAAACCATAAGCCATTTGTTAAGTGATCAAATTACCTACGATTAATGTCCATTATTGATGGCATTTCCCTTTAGTGTGGCCCAAGCATAAGGTCTAGGTACCAAAGTCTCAGGCATAATAAAAAAAGTGTGAATGGATGGACATTGACACTTGACAGATTGACTGAATTCAATATATGCATGCATCATGATCAAATTTAACTTCGGAGATTCTATGGGAGATAGTGTGTGACGGACGAAGTACAAGGGCTACAATAATAAACTGAGAAAGGAAAAATTGGTTGAATCAAATCCAGAAGTAAAAATGTTTATTAGAAAACCGTATCAACTATTCTTAGCAACTTCACTTCGAGCAGTAAGTTCATAATATTTGTTATTAATTCATAAGTGAATGTTGTGTATAGCATTTTGATATATTTACAGCTCAATTATGCAACTAAAAGTCCCAAGCCGGAAATTCCACAGAATCCATTAGCATCCGTATATTCAGCTACAAATCAGAAGGATAATGGTGTTGTGTATGATAAAAAACCATTCAAGCTAACCCTAGAAGCAGGAAAGACTTATCACTGGTGCTTGTGCGGGCGCTCTAAATCTCAACCATTATGCGACGGGACTCACAAGGATGTATATCTTAAGATAACTCAGAGGTGAGTTCCTTCTTGTTACATTTATGTGTTCATGAAGTCACATTTCCCCAAAAAGAGATGTTAACTTTATTTTTAGTGAGGTTAGAGCATTGCTGTAATGTTGTTATCTTTTTCTAGGCCTGTTAGGTTCACTGTGGAAAAAACTAAAGATTACTGGCTGTGCAACTGTAAACAAACCAAGAATCGACCATTCTGTGATGGGGCACACAAACAAAAAGATGTTCAAGAGGCCGGATCTGTCAGACTGTAAAATAAGAAACAAGCATTATGTATTAGTAGTTAGATTGTCAAATTTGTTGATTTGTCTAGCTAATTTATTTAGCTCCTAGTGATTGTCACTAAAATAATTTAAGTAATAAATCAAAGTTTATGAACAACCTTGCATTTTTGGTGTTATAATTTTCTATTTATTCAGGTGTTGAAGGCCCATATAAACATAGACAATTTAATATTTTATAAACAATATAAAAATTTAAAATACTACAAATATAAAAAATACTACAAAACTAGTCACTACAAATAAATCCTATTATAAAGGGAACAACTCTTTGTGTGATTTACAAATTGTTGTTCTGGGTCTGGATGTGATGTGCAAGTAAAATTGTATGTTTGTAAACGCACCCACAACACCAGAGAAAATCCTAGTGTGGGCAACGTTTTTTTATCAAAGCAAAGCAAACACTATAAAGTAAACATTAATGTACAAGAAGTGCCGGCAAAGTGTTTCGTTGACTGGTGTCACGTAGCTGGTCACGAAACTGGCGGTACATAACACCATACGGCCACGAATCGTCTTTCAGGAACTTTTTGAGGTGATGTGTCGGAAGGAAGTTTGTTAGGCTCCAACAGCTAGACCCTAAAAGTCCAGTTTGTCTTCACGCGCATGTATTTAATGACCTCCTCAACCTTTGTGGTGTGATGCAGTCAAGACACGTACAGCAGCGTCGTTGGTACGGCTGGACGCTCCAGCTTGACGGGCCTTAGCCCCTTTTATTTTTCCCGCCAGTTAACCTGCGAGTTTTTTGGCTCAACAGGCTTTTTAGCGGCGACTACCATTGCGGCGTAAGCTCGTTTGAGTGTCGTCGCACCTACACACGTCGTCGTCTCCACCGGTGTCGAGGCACGAATGGCTGTGGCACACGTTGCGACATGTGCATTTGCTGATAATGATGACACATTCGAGCTTACCGACCCGAAACTACAGATGGAGGCGTCTTGTGTCCCACGACGCGTGTTCACATTAGCGATGCTGGGTGACTTACTTGCAGAAATCTACCCGTCCATGGTGTCATTGGATACTTCCAATTGATGCTCCATCTCGACCTGGTTTTGCTGAGTATTCTTTAGCAGCCTGATGACTTCTACGTGGTCAAAAGTGATGGGAGGCAGCCTGTGCAGATCCTTTTTTTTGTCAGGGGAATATCATCAAATGACTTCTCCCGCCCAGAGACTCTTGCTGACTGAACCCCCTCCCCCCCGTTCCTTCTCCTGCTCTGGGCCGATGCCGCGTAGACTCTTTGAGCCACGCGCGGATCGCTACGCACCGTCCGCTCGGGTCTGGGTCTGGATCTGGTCGGGCGGTGAGCATCCCTTAGGTACTTGCCGTCCGCAAAACACCGGGCGTTATTTTGTTGTGTGAGGGGAAAATTGTCAAATTACTTCTCCCGCCCAGGGCCGAGCGGGAGGGAATGTCAGACTCTTACTGACTAAAAACCCCCTGTTCCTTCTCCTGCCCTGGGCCGAGGTCGCGGTCCCTCATTGCGCTTACCCCGCAACCCCGGCTGGACATCAGCCCTATAGGGCCCCGTCTGTGGTGGTCTATTGGCTCTTTTCTCGGGCCTGGTTCTGGTCAGGCGGCGAGCTGCCCCTACTCATCGACCGCAGACCCGCGCTTACGGTGGCCGGAGACCGTCCCTTGATCCCCGTCGCCCGTAGTGTCGCCTGTTGCGGCGGCTGGGGCGTGAGGAGGAGGATTGCTCCCTCACGCCGCCTCTCTCTTTGCCAGCATAACCTCTTGCTTCCCAGAAGGAGGAGACGGCGACGTCGCCACTACCGACCACTTCCCTGAGGACACGGGGGTCTCAGCCCAGGCAGGACACACCGCCACCGTATGCTCTAGGTGGTCCTCACAATGACGACACTCGGGCGTTTCCGAGCTTGTGTAGATCCTTCGCTTCAAATTCAGGCACGTCGTCCGGGCCGGTCTCCTCCAACAATGTAATTAATTACCTATGTCTTGGAGGCTTTTCTCTGTGCCGTCCCTTTGGCATCTGGCTGAGTTTCCTAGCGTCGTGAACAGCAGCAACTTGGGACTGCAAATGTCATGCTCCTTGAAGGATATCTTGCAGATCTATAAGATGTTGATCTCGTCCGTGTAGTCAATGGCACCCATCGCCTACGATCAATTTACAGATCTTCAATGATCTACTTGTTACACTCGACACTCTCATTCATAGTAATACACTATTAGAGATGCTCGCATACATTCCTTGTCCTTTTTTCTTATAAAAATTCAATATCGTCTTTGTTTTAAACAGGCTTGAGATAAGGAATAAGGAATGTCGCTCCGGCCTGGAATACATTATGTCATTTCGCTTCATCGTTCTTACGTCGTAGTCTAATAGCAGGCCGCATTTATGATGATCTGATGGCTCTTTGAGGCTCGCCTTCGCTGTCCTACGTTAACGGTGGCTGAAGATCGTCATGCTTTTCCCGAAGACCGAAACGTCTGCTGCAGTGCGGCGGCTAGAGCGAAAAAACTATCGTCTTGAAAAAAGTATTTTTGGGTACGCCCATGCTTGGATAAGGCGTTTTAAATTGGAACGTAGTGTTTATATACTCTTTGTTTTAAATAGAGCTATTCCGTAGTGCGATATAGAAATAATGCATTTAATGTCGTATTGCTCAAAAGCCTAAGCATCCGACATCCTTAACATATCAAAGACAAAAAGTTTACGTCCGACGTTTAATAAATGTCAAAATCAGCAGCTAGCACGTCACATTTTGTAAGTTTCAGTCAGAATCAGGCATTTCAGTTCAGTTTTGGTCTTGAGTGAGTACAGTTTCTAGATGAGGCACTGATATCAAGTTTTCCTTTTTTTTTCAAACCGTGTTTATTTTCCAAATAACCTTTAATCGGTTTAGAGGTTCAATTTAATGTATAGTCAGTGTTTTTGTGACTGATTGAATGTCACTCTTAATTTATCCAAATCTGTGCAGCAAATTACTTGTATTGTGCTCTAAATAGTGAATTATTCAACAGAAGGGCCCATATCAGCTGCAGTTGAGGTTCAGCGAAGTGGTAAGCGAAGTACGATGGAAGAGCAACCAAAACCGAAGCTGTTCACCCGCGAGGAGCTTAAGTCACGGTGCACGCGCAATGACGCCGTGCTTATCATACATAATGAAGTGTACGACGTCACCAGTTTCCTAGCAGAGGTCAGTGTAGATTCAATAGCTCATATTTGAATTATTTGTGGTATATTATCTTTAATTAAGTACATACGTTTTTATTGATTGTTTTACCTAGGTTTACATTAAATAATTAGTGGGCAAGGGAATTAGCATGTGTAGCACTAAGTTCCTAGAAATAATTGATTGATAGTAAGAACTGTCATGTAATCATGTAGTATGTAAGTGGCACTGCTGTTTAAACTTGTAAAGTATACATTTTGTACCGAATCTTTTAAGCAAATCAACATTATGAAAAATAGATGTAATAGTCAGTATCATCAGATTAATTGATCAAACCTTGAACACCAACATTCATGAACCCATTGTTCTTCTATTGTGTCTTGAATTACCACAATTGAAAGACACAGTTAACACATTGCTTAAAGAAGTGCACTTAGAGTATTTTTCGCTTTGCTGGGGTTTTGGAGAGCAAGCTTGTTTCCATCGTCTCCAGTGCCGGCGTAAGGGACACCTCTGGCGAAAATATTGTGACGGCCACTTGCGGGAAGCAATATCAAGTGTAAAATATTTTCCGATCCCAAGTAAAATAAAAAAATATGCATATCCACAGAGCGTAGAACACAATTCTGAGGGTTTGCACCAGGAGAGGTAAGAGACTTCAACTTCAGACATGGGAGCCACCCAGAATTTTTCGCCCTGGGCCATCACCCTATCAAGCCCCCCCTTATGCCCTGATCATCTCTACCAAGCACACTAGCATATTCAGATTCTTAGGATATCGGAGACATCATCATATCATAAAACTCCATTATCTTTCCTTAACCAAATCTTCAAATTCAATTGGTCTTTTCCTTATGTTACTTGACTGAACTTGATAAGCATTCTGGGATCCATTATATAGGAAATTAATGTTTATAATTTAACATCTTTATTTTTTTTACCTGTTATAAACTTCCTTATTATATTTATATTTAAAAAAAAGATCATGTATTTAGGATAACATTTTCAAGTTTAGTTTTATTTGATGTAAAATAGTGATAACAATTTTTTTTTTGAGTGGGGAAATCATTAATTTGTTTTTCTTACCCAGTTTCTAGAGGGACTTTTAGACTCCTACTGACTAAAAATCTGCTCCAGGCTGAGGCCTAGTAAGCATAGTTCCCTCACAAGCTCCATCTCCTCCTTTGCTAGCACCACTTTGCAGAATGAGGAGATGGCTTTCCAGTTCCTTTCGCCGTCGTCGCCGATCACTCCCCCAAGGACACGGCGGTATACAACCTAAATAGGGCACACCGTCACCTAGTTCTCCTGTGACATGAAGAAACACAGGCATACATACCCCATAATATCGAACATTCCATGGTGTCTCTCGTTTAACTGCTATAAGAGGCTACCCGTCTACCACCGACCTATCATACTTATTTTCTGTTTATTTCATTAATTCCTGTAATAAAATACTTTTCACACACATAAAGATAATACTAATTTGGACCTGGACACTCTAGATAGGCGGGTCCGAACAATGCTGACTGCATACCGAATGCATCACCCGCGATCGTCGGTGATGAGACTATATATCCCGCGGAAGTGTGGGGTCGAGGCTTTTTAAATGTAGTATAGTAGTCTCAGGGAATATTTTCTTGCTGCCAACGTGGTTATGCATTGAGATTTAGTGGCAGTAGACAAGGGGCTCACCCCGCTCTCCCTGGCTAGCGAGAACTGGCGCAAACCGGTCGTACTTGACACCAACGCAGAGCAAGGAGCTTCACAGACGCTTTTTCCGAGCCCTACAGGCCGGATGTAGACCTGTTAGCGTCTGAAGCCTGGCTGCGTGTCGGTGACCTCTTTGGGGAAACCGAAGGGTTTGTTTGTGCAATTATGGACAAAGTTATCATGACGAATAACTACCGGAGATTTATTGTTAAGGACGGCACGGTTGACATCGGTCTGGCATGTCACCGAATCAATTCGTCACGTAATCTCTGGTCGTTCTCGTCTAGCTAACGGCGAGTACTTGCATAGGCATAACCTTGTAGTCAGGATCATCCGTCAGCAGCTTGCTCTGAAGTACTCTCTTGTGGAATTGGAAGTGCCGTACTACAGGTATGAGCCCGATCCAGTTCTTGATAATGGTCATATCACTTTGTACTGGGACCGGTCTATCATCGTTGATAGAACTATTGTGGCCAATAAGCCTGATATTGTGGTGGTGGACCGAAACGGGAGGCGTGCAATGATTGCTGACATAGCCGTCCCACATGACGAGAACCTTGTGAAAGCCAAGAAAGATAAACTTATCAAGTATGTCGACTTGGCACGCTAGGCTGTCGACATGTGGGAAGTGGATTCGGCTATCATTGTACCGATAGTCGTGTCAGCCAATGGCTTGATAGCCAAGAGCTTCGACCAACATCTTAGGAGGCTCTCGCTAGGTGGCTGGATTAAGGGCTTGATTCAGAAAGTTGTATTCCCGGACACGGCTCGTATTGTCAGGAGGTTCCTTTCTCTGGAGCCCTGACCGCCGGTAGCTAGGACCCGGTTCCCGATACCGGTGGGGCACTCTTTTTTATAATTTTAAATGGTTTTTTGAGAAATATTTAAAAAAGTAAATTATATGTGAAATAAAGAAGTATACTAATTTTAACTTTGTATTTCATACTTATTTGTATCACGTTGAAATTGGAATTGAATTAACTTATGTACATATACCATAGGAAAAAAATAATATCATGAATACTTAAGTAAAACTGAGTAATTAATTATTTAAAATTTTTCAGCATTAATAATATCGTATGTAATTAGGTAATAATAAATACATTACCGTCGACAAAAATGTCGTGAGCAAATCGTTTATCGGTTGCGCTCGCTCGGCACCCGCCGAGATGTGTCGGTTGCCGGTGACCTTTACGGTTTTTATACTTGTTGACCAGATTCATTAACATTAGGTACCTACTTTTTTTCGGCGCAGTGAATCTGTGTGTGCACGCTACCAATGCACTTCCCACTATGTTGTAGTAGCTACGTCACTAGTCACTACATGAGTTGCAAGTTTATTGTGTACAATTTGTTTTATCGTAGTAGAACCATGTTTCATTTATGTCATATTTTATGTTTGTCAGGTACACTGAATAAATTCAAAATATCGTATCAAATGTTGTTCAGTGCGGTCATAAAGGAATGTAATACTTCCTTCATAATGGAGGTACCTTCTTCAATTCTTAGACCCATCAGCTAACTTCTCTCGAACTGTATCAGTTCGAGGATTGCAGCTGTCTAAACGTACAATCAATTAACATAATTGTTTTTATTTAAACTCTACAGCAGTGCATAATTGTGTGCCAATTTCAAATATGAGCGTAATTTATATTTAAGTTCAAACGATGACATAATTGCAAATTATATCAGGCATAGCTTTATGTAGGGATTTCCCGTCGAAGATAAATGGTTTTGCCCATTCCAGCAGGGAATACAGTTTACTTCTCAGGTTGCAAATACCCAAGTATGTCAGTTAATTCCCATCTAAATCGGTTATAATTAAGATTAAAAATTGGTTATAATCCGGTGTCTGATAGAATCTTTACTATGAAGCTGAATACCAAACCACCTACAGCACAGGCTCAGGATGCGATTGAGGACTGCTACTCCCGTAGCAAACTTAGGTATCCTAAAGTTTAACACTTAATACTAAACCGGGAAATCAAAATGATTTGGATTGCCAGTCCTTGTAGTACACTGGCGATGATCATATCAGAAGTACAGTTGGAAAATTTGGACTAGACACTAGGAATGATCGAGGTGAAAAACTGATTGGAATTCTGGGTAAACAGGAATCTCAATATCATAGACACGTACTTCCAACTTCTTAGATGTACACGTGGAGACCTCCATATAGGTGTACAGGAATCAAATAATTTGTTTACGTCATTACGTCACGGCGTGAGTTTCACATTTATACATATAATATCTTTGTTAAATGTTGTTTGCGCAGATATAACGTGTTACTGTTTGTTTGTCCCGAATAAATAAATAAATAGTTTGGTCTCATTGCAAGGAAAGATGAAAACAATCTGGAGAGACTTATAATGTGACCAGAAAAGTGAGTGGGAAAATCGTGGTAGTAGCCCAACACGCTGCTCCGATCAGATCCGAATTGCTGTAGCTAGACTCTACTGTCCACAATGCCCTCTACACCGCTAGCGATAGAAATGGAGTAAATCGATATCTATTAGATTTTATACTGATACGCTGTTAAGTGAGGCTTTTTATGTTCATAATAAATCGCGTTAATGATCACCTTATCAATATTACACTTATTATATAAATCAGCATCCTATTGTTGTCATCGTTCCGTATTGCATACGACTATAATCAATGTATATCCACCAGCAGCAGTATTCGTCATTAAAATATTTTACATTATGTTAGGGTAGGTATCATATACATATATTACATATGTTTTGTTGCATGAACCAATATTTAGGTATTGTTTAATATGCTGAAAATATAAAAATATGTTATAATAAGTTGTTAGTACAAACGATAAATATAGAATAGGAATATCATTCAAACTTATAATCTGACTTATTTAACTGCACAGTTGGCGCGGGCAACTTGAGACTTGAACTTAACTCTTTGAGTGATTCACAAATAGTTGTCCCGGTTCTGCGTGTAATGTGAAATTGTATGTTTGTAAACGCACATCCACGACACTGGAAACATCTTAGTTTAGTTTTTTTTATAAAGAAAAATCAATAACATAGTGCTAAAAAGTAGTCCTTTTCTTAAATGAGACCTACGATTAAATGTTGATATACGAAAATTTATAATCGGAATAATAAATGTTTTTATTGATAAGAATAGTTTTGGTTTGATGTCGATAACTCATTGATTATTTTACGTACTTTAATATTTAATTCCCAATTTTTGCATAAAGTTAACAAGATTTATTCTATGTCAGTATACTGCATAATAGCAACAAACTTTATTCTTTTTATTTTTTTATTATTTTCAGTGTAAAAGAAGTGCCTAATGATTTGCAGTCAAAAATAAATAATATTTCCAATGACACACACGATAATAGCACAAACAAAATGAACCCATCCCGTGGCAATGTCCTTTTATCAAAAAGAGATTTATTTCCCGACTGCTTTAGCAATAGCAATCCTATGTTCTGCTCGTGCTGTTGTGTGTGTATTTACAAGAAACAGGTTTGAGGTCTGGATGTAGGTCAAGTTATCTGGGCTCACGTTCGCTTAGCATTCGGTTCCCATCTCCGCAGTACATACCTAACGCTAAATGAGAAATTCCAACGCGACGAAATTCCAAGATCGGGACATCAAAATTCCCAGACAATAAACGCGGCGCGGCGCCTGACGAGAGATGAAAGTACTATCAATACTATTGCTTGCTATGTTATAGTCCCGAATCAGACAAAAGTATTACTTATTGAGGTTTTCACAGGTCAAAAATTAAGGTCTAGGTTTCCCGCACGGCCTCTTTTTAATTTATATTGGAACGTAAAGAAAGGGATACTGTACCTAATACCCAATTATTATATGTAGGTACTTAAGAATGATTTCAGCCAGCGTTTACACAGTAAAAAAAACTTAAGATCTATCTTTTTGCTAGTTCCCTTAAGTGTAGATTCAAAATGAGAAGAACGAGCAAGAAAAGATAGTGTTAGTCTAACCCATCCCAACCCGTGCTAGGTTACAGGGCACTCCATTTACAAATTTATCAAGTTTGACAACGTAACAGGCGTGACTGAGTACCGGTCAATCAAAATTAACGTAGGTAGCAACAGAAAGCGGGCAGTAATTTTGTTCTATTTAACGTAGCAAGTTAGACAATGAATTTGTGTCGGGTGCCAGAGTCCACTCAACACAAAACACTAATCTATAACGATATATAAGCATTCGATTAACCTTTTCGCCGCCAACAACTTCTATAGAAGTTCAGGATTTTCGTGCCGTCCACGCCACTACTTCTATAGAAGTTCATTGTATCTACCTACTATAAAAAATACATTTACGATACATAAAACATTTGTTTCTTTGTAATTTTGTAATATGCACACGACGAACTATTTTTTCTCATGCAAAACAGACTATTTGCTGTTTTAAAAAGGTAAAACATAAAAGGTTTCAAATAATTTTATATCCCGCACGCCAACGACTTCATATCAAGTAGGCCAGTGATGTGACGCGTAAGGAGCATTCATTAGAATCTTTATTTACTATAATATTTGTTTTCTTTTCCATCCAATAGTTTTTTGAATTCTATGAATAAAAAGAAATTCCGGTCAGTAAATAACGTATTACAATGCGTTTCAAAATTAATGTACATCTACCTATCAAATCATTTCATTAAAATTAATTATTATGTACTGAGGGTTTTCGATATTGCTAGACCCATCTCTACGTAATGGCAAGATGTCGAGTGACACTAGCGCCGTCAACTTCAATAGAAGTAAACCTGTGACGTCGTAAGCGCTTAGGCGTCAAGGTCATTGTGTCATAGTTCCGGGCGACGCGTGCACGCACATTTTTCTTTCCCAGTGCAGTGCAAAATGACCGAATATGATTCGGATGAGTTGTTGCGGCTGTTACAAGGTGTGGAACCTGATTCCGACTTTGATGTTGAATGGGAAAGCACATCGTGACCTGACGTTAGATTTTAAATGTAAACTAAAACCAAAAGCAAACCAAACTCGATAGAAAGAAAGAAAAGCATAGACAACTATTCCTTACGAAATGTATCGTGCTTTGAACGCCAATGACTTGATATGAAGTAAACAGACTACGTTATGAAATGAATAGTGAAGTGGCTAATGTTACGAATTATTATTATTATCTCTAGCAACTCTATGCATGTATCTTCATCTCTGATAACGGATACCCATTTTTCTTAGTATAAATGTTCATAAAATAAAACAAATTACCATTATAACTTAACAGTTTGTATTTTTAATTGTAAATTTGAGTACCAATTTAAATTTACACATATTTTTTTTCATTATCGACATGATGTTACCGCCATCCCTACTTTCGTACTATACATTTATTATACATTTATACGTTGGCGTACGGCGACACATCGTGTTTAGTATAGCTGGGCGGCGAAAAGGTTAAGAATTACCCAAATAATGTTCTCATTTAGGTCACAAATCACGAATCTATTAACCAAATAGAGGTAGGTTAACACAACGCATGTTGAGTAAGATTGTATTCAAATAGAATGATTGTCTGTGCATTGTGTTACGCCTGGGGAAATTTGTTGGGTTTTGTATCAGCAGAGTAAGCAAGAACCTGTGTAGTGTGGTGGCTGGTGTGCGTCGAGTGCTGGGCCAACTGCCCTGCGCTGCCGCTAGGCGTGAAGGTACTTTGTGCACGCAGAGCATTGAACTCTATAGTGAAACGTCAAATCAATCTACATATTTTAGAGAGTTCGAGTTTTTTGACTTTATAATAATATCTATGTATTAATTGCTTCTAAGTATTATTAATTAATTGTAATCACATTGTTTTTTTAGGAAATTTTACGAGAATTGATGTTAATTACATATCTAACTGATATTGATACTCGTATTAGTGATAAACGTAATGGAGCGACGTGTAGAAGACGTAATTTAATTTTAGCTGTCAGTTGATAAGTCGGTAGTACTGGCAGAGTCAGCACCCGCCATACGAGCCAGGGAGCCAGGGGACGAAACAAGTCGCTGCAGTTGTTGTAGATCAAGCTGTCAAGTCAATACAAAACATGATGACATTAAAAAGTCAATAAATCATATTTTTTAGTACAGAGACATATGTATGAACTACCAAAGCAAGTAGGCGACTGATCTGTGTCCCCAAAATGGGCCGAGAAGTATATCACGTTTATCTCTAGTATTTACAAGTCTGTATGTATGACTGATCAGTCATACAAAATGACTGTTATAGGTAATAAAACTTACTATATCAGCCAAGTCAGACTTACTACAATTATGTAGTTTAACATATTGGCCAAATGGCAGCCCGTTGAAGATGTGTTGGACGTGGTGTCACATGAGCTTGTTGTCCACAGCACCCCGGTGGTGAAGAGGTGCTACTGGAAAAAGGCGGCCAGGACGCTACCGAGCCCTTCGAAGATGTCAGCCACAGCTCCGATGCCAGGTAAATTTTGGTTCATTGCTACTTTTTTAAATAAATTAGCCTGTGCTTAATTTTACGTCCTCGACAAGTGAATAAATTGTTCTGTAAGTACCACCAACCTAACAAAGCCACTCGTAAATTATTTTTAAGACAGTACAGGTAATGTAGGAGCTTTACATCTATGAGCACATAGATGTAAAGCTCCGTCCACTTTGTTATCTGAGGCTTATAAAAAGGTGGGACGCGGTGAAGCTGCTATAATATACATGTGATTGTATTCGCAGATCTTTAATGAAGAAGTACAAGATCGGCGAGCTGGTGGAGGCTGACCGAGTGCAGAGTAAGAACGCATTCGCGCCTCAGTGGACCAACGACCAGGCGCAGGAGCAGGGCAAGTGCGTAGTCGCCTAGTAGCATAGTTCCATACACGCACTTACGCTAACACACCGACGCCGACACACAACTGTACCTAGTTCTGACTAACCGCCTGTTGAGCCATTCTTGCCACCATTGGTCTACTTCGCATTCTGCTCGTGGTACTGTACTAGAGCTAATAATTGTTCTCAGAGAAATATTATAAGGGGGCAGTATATTCCTTCACATACTTATAGGTACAATTTTAAGGACATTTTAGGCTTCATAAAAGTGAATATTCGTAGCGACATTATATTCTATCATTTTGTAATTCATCATTCACTTCATCGTTGGTCATCGATACCGGCTGCATTAACGACACCCATTGATTAGAAATTGACTACCTATGGTTCATCAATCCAGTGCTTACTAATCGGTAGATCGAGTAAATGTATGGCTTTTATCTTAATTATTATTGATCACGCTACTTGACATGACAAAGTGTCATCAACAATCTCGAATAATGCCTACATCAGGCGTGTCTCGTTTCTCTATCATTCCACCCTTACTATTTGGTTGTGAATCTTGTGTTTGTAGGTACTCGAGCGCACCCTTGCATATGGCTCTGTGTAATGCATCAGTACACCACTAACTCTAGTACTTAAAATATAATAAACAAAATGTGATTTTAATGATCTGTAAAAGTTTAACAAATATACTATGAATCATTGTTATGTAAGTTTATCTAAGCTAACAGAAACATGCTGCTTATTAGATATGATAATTGTAGTAAGACGTGATCTCTCATGTCCCCTGCTAGTGTAAGAGATCTGCCTGTTGTAGTTGACGCACAGCACGTTTATTTCATTAAATTTGTTTTAATAGTTAATAATTATTTATGTAAAGGCCACTAGCCTTGTCACTTGGTGCTTTATTTATTTAATATCATTGAAATGCTATAATAATGTATGTGATTAATCGTTATTAGTAAATAATAAATTGCATATGTTACACATGCCTCATTATTTCAAGACCCTATAATTTTATTTAAAGGTTTTTTGTTACACAGACCCATGTGCTTATTTTATTATATATCTATACAAAACGCGCTTTAATATATGGTACAGTATCACCGTAAAAATGTTTCGAGTGCCAACAAAAGAATCACTTAAGAATTATGTACCTACTTCTTCATTTTCACTCATACATGAACTGTTGCCATTTAAGTAGTACATAAACTATCGTGTTCACCCGAGACGAGAGGTCACCATTCATTCTCATTGTTGTTTGAAGGTGAATTGTTCCAGGGTATAAGTATAGACCAAAGTAATATGTTCAGATACTCACCTTGAACTGTGCACGCAAGACTTTGTACTCTCGTTATCTGCGAGCTCAGGATATTAATATACATTAGCATTCACAATAACAGCTTGATATCTTATGTAACTTATCTAGTGACATGGCAAGTGGGGGGGACTAAATAAAAAGTTCCTCCTCTATAGGCTGCTCACGGTACTGCAGGCTGCAGTGCCCAGGAGTACTGCAGGCTGCAGTGCCAGTACTACAGGCTGTATGTTGTGTGTACAGCACGTGGACCTCGTGGCTGACACCGTTGCTGCTGGGCGTGGCCGCCACCATCCTGTACCGCTACCTGTTCGCGTAGTGCCGCCACTGCCGCCGCCGCCCTGCTACTACTCTCGTCATTCTAACCTGCTTAGATATAAGTACAGCGGACGAGTATCGTCAGACGACTCTCACTTACGTACGATGTGGTTGCTAACTTCATAACTTGACATGTTCAGGTGCTAGGCTAACATTTGTGTGGACATTAGCAATATTTATTGAATTGGATCAGTACCTACCTAAAGTTACTATTACTACGATAATATGTGCCTAAACAAGTAATTATGTATATTCAAATGTTACTACCAATCAGAATATCAACCGCACCTCATTTACGAGTATTAGATTATAAACGAGTATTGAGGGCCGTAATCACGATTTCGTGACGATTTTGGAAGTACAAAAGCATCTCTCTACTATATTTAAGAAAGCATTTTGGATGTGGGTATCCAAAATGTTGCTCAAACCGACTCAGACGCGACGTGAACGCGTGACAGTGATATGATTATGTAGGTACATACACACCGTCGGGGATGGACAAAGGGAACATATCATAGGACATCCGCGCAAGTTGGCTACATTTTGCAGATACGCGATATTGCATTATCTCAGAGACGCGATATGGGGTAATTACATCAACTACAATATTTCACCAACTCTTCATTTCAACGCTATACCTACTTATGTAATAATATGTTATCTTGTAGTTGAATAGAACTTACATTATACTCGTCATACAAATATGGGCTGTGGTGGTTTCTTCAACAGGGGTCAGTTAGGTAGGTAGGTACGGATTATAATGAGATGGTATTTACGTCCTTTTTAACATGCCATATACAAAGGGTTTGTGCGTCGTCAAGTTAATAAACTACATCCTGCCCATGTAGTCTGGCTGTACTTGTATGCTGCAGCGGCGGACGCTGTTACCACTCCAAGGTCACTCAATATTTCCATTCTACGGTGCCAGTACGCAGTTACTACATTTATTGAGGTGTTAAGACTATTTAGATATTTAAGTGAATGTGTATTTTTTACTTTTTTAATTGGGATGAGGTATATTGCTGCTATTTATTTAATTTACTTCTTAATGTGTGTGCCTTCTGGAATGTCGTGAGTTCTTATACTAAGGAAATAAGTAAAATAAAATAAATAATACGTAAGCAGCAGGCCATGGTAAGTTTGTTATGGGATGTGCACACATCATAAGTACCTACCAGTAATGTGTCTTATGAATTTTGCAATTTTTTTTCTACGAGTACCTACCTTATTCTTGTTTCTATGTTGTATGAAGATGAACATAATTTTTATAAATGCATAAAGTAGTACAATATTTTCTTAGATGTTTGATTAAGCTTCATATTTTATATGCATGTGGAGTTGAAAGAACATGTTGACAACATTTGTTGAGTTTTAGTTTATATTTTACATTATTACATGCAAGGATAAATATATCCATGTTGTCACATTAATTTAATATGTCTATCAATTTACATACATATTTCTAGATTGGTCAACTAGTAGTGTACCTGCTATAGCACAAAGTTTTAAGGAATACATGGTTTTAAGTATCACAACTCCTGAATATAATTGATTTAATACAGTCAGAGTATAACAGAAAAGTATGTATATGTGCATGTATATTTACACTGGATAATTGAGGCTTGTGGCTTATTTACATTGGATGTAAGGCCTTTTTGTGATATATCTATATAATATAATCACTCCCTGGAATGTTGTGTTTTATTTAATTAGAGTAAGAATATAGTGAGTAATATATGATAGGTATTGTGTTGGGCTACTGAACTCTGAGGTTAAAATCCCACACTACTGTCCCTAGTCTTTCTCCCGAAATGGCTTCTAAGTCTGCTTCCTTGATGCAAAAAAGGTAAGTAAATATTAAGAAAATGATGATGAGGAGATGGATTCATGAAACACCAGCAATACATTCATTAATATTAGGTTTATTTATTTTCTTCTGTAAATTAGGGAAAGTTTCTATGATAAAATTAAACTTGGCTTACAATTAATTAACATTTATATAACATTCAGCTCACTACCAGTCTAACTGTAACAGGACACACATATTTCTGCACCCTCCAGCCTAGAAAAGTACAAACAAATATAATACACATGGATATTTGATGTATGGCTATGGATAATTACTTAGTTAAATGTTGCCTGTGATCGAGTGGTCTCTATGAAACAACTAGTCTACCCTTTATTAGTAAAATAATACATGTATCATTTACTGTGTGACCAATACATACCCAATCATAATGCAACGCAGGCAATGTGAGCGCTCACAATGAACACACATGTGCTGGCAGCCACCACACAAGCTCACCTCACAATAAGCACACTGAGATTCCACATTACTACCACAGGTGCACTGTTTCAATCGCAACTTATTGTCTACCTGCAATAATGAATATGACCACATTCAATAACAGTTAATTTAATGATTACCATTCAATTATGATTTCCAATAATTTCAGTTTACCATTTTGCCCGAATGAAGGAGACTTCCATCTTTGCCAATGAACAGTTGTTTCATTTTGTCTTGTTTATCTGTATTACTCAAAGCAGTATGCTCGGAATGCGTAATATCTAGTGAAGAACATTTTTTGGCACCCTTGAATAGTAGTTGTAAGGTTTTTTCTGAGGAAAGGACAATCATTTAACATATTATTAACGCATATTTATGTAAAAAAAAGGAAAAGTAAGCAGAAGTCAATCAGTTACTTATAGAATCTCTAAATATAAACAAATAGGCTGAAAATGCCTCATATTACTGATAAAATACTGGGGATATAAATAAAATTAATGTTGAGTAGGTACCTACCATAAACTTGTTTCAGTCGATCTTGATTATTATTAAACTGTTTTATGCCTACATGAACTTTACTTTGTGGTATAAAGTCGTCGACAAATGGGTTTGCTCGCTTTGCCATATCATAAATAATCTGGGTTTGATGAATTCGCAAAAAATAAACAAACAAAACAACAATTCAAACCGGACAAAAACCAAGTCAGACCATAACCATAGACTATAAACTTTGTGTCATAGACTTCAGAACGTGAACTTTTTATTGGGTATTTAGTTTGTTTCTATTGTATGTTTACATTGAGATAGAAAATATATAGAGGCGCCGTGTTACTATAGAAGTATACATGCTTATACAAATATGAGGGAAATATGAAACAAACTATGAAATATCATTTTTTCTCACTCTTTCTAAGGCAATAATTGTATTAGACAAAAGGGACAACAATATTTAAGTTGTTGCTTAATATGGAAACAAATCATTTTGACATTAGCAAAGTTGTAGGTAAGTGCCATGTCCGCCATCTTAAGCGCTCAGAGTACCTGAGTTTCATGGTAGTTGTGCTGTCAAACGGTTGTTTATGTTCTAAATTATTGCGGTTTTTCAGTAAATTACAAAGAACCATTTTTTTTAAACTTCAAATATATATAGTGAAACAAAAAAACAATATGCCTGTGTGTTGTATTGTGCAGTGTGGTGCAAAAAAGAACGAAAATCAACCTCAATTGTCTTTGTATAGGTTAGTAAACAGTTTTCATCAAATATTACTTAGAATAATCCACATAGATAGAAAAAAATGTCACGGATACTTTAATCTATTGCCAAAGTATATATATTTACTTTTATTTCTGTCTGTGAGACAGTTTTAGTAAAAAATTGTTGTTTACAATAATATGTCAATATGGCATAGTTACGTACCATTTCACAAAAGTATCGATATAATCTCCCATTTAAAATTCAACATATATTATACTAAATAATCTATTTCAACAATGGATGTCTCCGCAGTTTTGTGTAACGCTAAAGTAAGACGTCAGTATTTTGGTATTGGTTTTAGTTACATAAGTAGAAGTTCAAATTATCATGTTTATAATTATACGGGCGCGATTGACAGAGCGGCGTTGGCGACGATCCCAGTGCGACCACCAAGCGTAATAATAAAAAGTGAGATACATACAATAAGATTGACTTCACTACATATCTATTTTGCGCTAACGTAGTTTCGAAGATATCATCGCTTAATCAGACGCGCCGAAATTGTGCGCGAGCACTTCACAAATACCCACAGGTTTTCCACATATATAAAGATAAACATTTAACAAACACTATCTTTTTCTATTTCACCATTCCATTAAACGCTGTTCATAAACACACTCCTATTTTTTTAAATGACGCTTTACGTAGAATTGTATGAATTCAAATTCGACTTGAGAAAATCATTAGCCAATCAAGAGACCAAGTTAACCCCGGGTTCCGGGCTCTAGCTAGGCCGACGGCAAAGTAGGAACAGCAGTTGATTTTAGTCAGTAACGGTCTGTCCCGAAAAAGGCCGGAGATGACATTAGATGATTTCCCATAAAAAATACCGTTAATCAGCTGGCTAATCCCAAAAACTATACCTACGTAGAACTTTTACTCAAATTGTATCGATACTCGTTAAATACTTAGTCGGCACAACCCTAGCAACGGCAGCCATCTTATGCGACATTTTGGATTGTAGGTAGGCACCTTTTTTTCGTAGGTATTTCAAGTCCATATATTTCCTATGTCAATGTATGTTTATGCCTTGGAACCATGGACTGGACTTTTTTGGTAGGTTTTTGCATAGAGGAATAGTTTTGGAATAGCTAATAGCTATATTAAGGTCTAAGGGTTTTTGTAACTATTAGAAAAAGTACATAAATTTCCTAATTGCTTAATTAGCCTTACACTGAACAGTCTGTTACACGTACTGTATACGATAAATTAAAGCAAAAAAAAAAATTAACTAAACTGTAACTATTCTGTTTTATGAATTAATGCCCTATATAAGTATAATATTTTTTTTATACAATATAATTATTACTTTCAACACCTTACATGAAACGTCAAACTTTAATTTTCGAAATAATGGCTACACTGCCAACAGGGCACCTTCGATCGATGGGCTGCTGTCAACAAAATCTTTATAAAATATTTATTAAATAAATTCTTTATAAGACGCAGTCATTCTTTTACGACAAGTTTAGTTCTGTCCATGTGCATGTCACAATATTGTGTATGAGTGAAGGCTGCAACATCTGGAACGATAGTGAAAGTGAATTGCATAGTGATTCAATTCCATGATAGTGACGGGGCTGTCGGACACAGCTGTAGCATATGTGAGCGGAGCTCTTGCGAATGTTATGTAAGCGCTGGTGTCGTGCGGCATGTCTTGGATGAAGCGGCCACAGGGTGGCACGGCACCGCCGCCGGGCCCCGAGCGACAGTCCTACGCCGCACCCCAGGTACAGGTGAGTCGAGTAGGTTATAATATCTACCAGACGTAAACAATGACGTGGACCAACTGCGCCGATATGTACGTCTTGTCAGATGATTTATATATAAACATTCAACTTGACTGCAAATTGTTAGTTACTTTATTCTCTTATTTGACCAAAAACTAGTTGGAATACTAACATTTCTTATTAGTTAAGCAGTAAAGCATTAATTATTAGTATGATTGGCTAATTTTGTTTGTGGCATTTGCATTTGTGAAAGTAAGCATAATGAGTATGGTTGCTGTTTTTGAATTACTCTTTCAATTACCTAATATAATACTTTATTATTACAGGCATTTGGGAACCAACAGAACATGTACCCAAACTATCAAGCAAGTACCACAGGTAATGTTCAACCACAGCAGTTCTGGCAGGCGCCATCCCAGCAACAGGGCCAGTATGGTCAGCAATTTGGACAAGTGTACCAACAACAAGACTATTCTGCCAATGCTAACCAATTTTATCAGCAACCAGGCCCAGCAAACCAGTTTAACCAGAACTATACCAGTCAAGGTTTTAATAACACTCAACTGCAAAGTTACCAGCAAAATTATTACCAGACTGAAGGAGCAATACAGCAGAATTTTCAACAAAATAAGCCCAATGCTGACAGTTGGGAGGACAACTGGGACTGGGGATGGGAGGAATCAGCTAAACAAGCACAGAAAGCTAACCAAAATGCTAGCCAGCAGCCCGCACCCCCTCAACAGGCAGCCTTCAATAATGCTAATGTTATAGAAGAGAGCTTTGCTTCAACTGATAGCTGGAATTGGTCAATGGATGAAAAGAAGGAGTCTAAAGAACCTGTGTCTGGTCCTCTCAACAAGGAAAATAAAGAACCTTTTAATCTTCCATCAAACCCTGCAGCAGGTAGTAACCCCGAGTCTGAAACAGTGAATAACATGCCTCCTGCACACACAGAGGAAGTTAGGAGCTTGAATGATAAGGATGTGGTGAGAGAGCGTCTGCCTAATTTAGCTTTAGGTAAACGATTCCACTTAGACAATTTAACACCGCAGTGGTCCATAGAATCCCAAATGTCCCAAGAATCAAGTGATGGGCCTCATACACACTCGGAAGGAACTTACAGGAGTGATAATCAATCAAGGAACTCTAATAAGAGCAGTCCGGGGTTAAATACAGACAATTCCAATTTTAATTATTCCCAAGTGGGCCTTGAAGAAAGTTTCCCTCAGAACAATGAATGGTCAAGACCTACAGATGAACCACCTAATGACCATGCCCAAAGTAACAGCAGACGCGAAAGTCATGATGACCTATCTGGATCTCTGCAAGAACTGAATTTGAACAACCATGAAAAGCCATTAACAGAGGCATCGCATCAGATTCATCACGATGATTCTAGAAGCACTCATGATTTTAGTCCACCGACACAACCCCCACCGGCTGTGTCTCCACTTAGTTTTCCAAATCCTGTTCCATCTGCAATGGCTGCCAACATGCCTCCACCACCACCAGTTTCATCTACATCTATACCTTTAAGCGCATCTTCATCTGCGGCATTGCAAGCTGCTTCTTCTTCCACCGTAATACCTCCTCCAAACTTCCCACCACCCACTTCAAATCAAAATTCTTTGAACCCATTCAAAATGAATGCAGGGCCATTCTCTCACAAAACTGTAGCTAAAGTGACAACTAGTGCTGCAAATGCACAGGCATTCCCGGCACCTAATGTGAGTCTAGCTTCTCCTGCAGTTGTTAGCAAAGTATCTCAGCACAACCGAGTGCCACAGGGATTTGAAGCAAACCTGGAAACTACACCAGATAACTCGGAACGGCCAGACCAACCCCAAATATCAGCGTTTCGACCATTGCCTGTCTCGCAACAGGTACCAGATAATATGGAGATAGCTCCGCAGAATGATAGAAATGAATATTTACAAACGGCCCATTTGTCAAGCAGCGATTATGGTGAAAACACAGATTTTAGTAGAGGCCCACCTCCACCTGGACTGCGACGAATGGTAGTGGGTCAACAGGAGTCTGAATATACCCAAAGTTTGAATATTTCTGGAGATGAACCTCCGCCTGGCTTGGCTAGAATGGTACCAGGTCAACAGACTGAATCTGTAAATGCGTATAACCAAGCAGGAGATAATTATTTGGACCGTCATATTGACGGCCAGCCCACTGAAAGCAGCGCCCGTCCTTACCGCCAAGCTGATGGTCAACAAACACCTGACAATTACACACAGGCACCTCCTGCCAGGGCCCCAGAGAGACGACCTATAGGGCTGGATAGAATGGTTCCAGGCGAACCAAGCAATGATGAGTACCCCCAATATCCAAGTACTAACTACGCTGGTACCAATGAACACCGCGTTGTTACAGGCTTGGATCACGACTTTTCTATGCCGACTGACACCGGACCACCAGATGTCAGGGAGCAAAATGTCGACGGTTCTGATTACACCGAACAGACTTCTAGGAATCCGCCCAGAAATGTAATAGGTGCCAGGGAGTCCAGTAACGACGCCTCTCCGGATTTCAGTGCACCGCCAGACGATCAGCAGAGGGAAGTTACTATGGAGGGTGAAAACCTGCAAGATTTAAGTACAATTTCTTCTACAGAACTAACGTATTCCCGAGAACAGGTATTGGATGGCGCTGATATTACACTCGCAGAAATAGCTACCGACAGGAAAACTGATTTATCAGATTCCCTAGACCACCCTACGACAAGTTCTAGGCGGCAATCTCTCAATAGAGTTAACACTTCGGGAGAAGACTCCGAAAGAGATAGAGCATTCAAATCATCGCCAAGAAGAGACAGAGACAAGCATAAGTCGACCAGAGATAGGGATTCGAAGCGGGACAGAGACCGCGATCGAGAGAGAGAGAGGGAACGAGACAGAGAACGTGACAAAGACGGCAGGTTTTCTCGGGGCGATCGCAAGTACGAGTCTGAGAGGAGGTCCGGCAGGGATGAGCGCCGCGAGCGCGACGCCTACCCGCGCGAACGACGCGACCGCGACAGCCCGGACGCGCGCCGCCACCGCCGCGCACGCGCTCCACGCTACGAGACCGAGGACACGGACTACTACAGCGACCGGGAGCGAGATCGAAGGTCTGTAGCGGACCACTACTTGATGCGTTGAAGTCTATATACTCGGCGCCAGGCTAATTGTTAGTTTATTCTCAGGCGCCACCGAGAGGGATCGTACACCTCTTCTAAGCCGCCCCGTCCAGAAGACAAAGAGCGGCGTTACGTTGAGGAGCGAGACCGCAATAAACGGTATCACACGATAGAACGAGACAGACGATACGACGACGAGCGCGAGAGACGCGAGCGGCGGCGCAGTGACCGCTACCGCGACCGCGACCGCTACGAGCGCGCGTACCGGGACATCGACCCCTCGCGGAAGCACGGCAACCTGCGCGCGCAGCGCGACGACGACGTCAGGAGAGGTCAGTCACGCTTCTTATATAACTTGCACACTCGTACCTAGGTTCCGTTACGCTTTTAATGGAGGTGACTATATTTATTTTGCAGTTGTGACATTCTCGAGCGATGCAAAAACTAATGATAGTTGTTTGGGACAAGGTACAAAGGCTCTCGTGTTAAAGTGACTTGTGCATGCTGGGCACTGTCGGGGCGTGGCACACACGCGCGGCAGTGCCGCAGTCGACAGGTCGCGTTGACATCGGCCGCGAGTTCACTTTGCATGCCTTACGTGTCATGGATGGAATGGAACCGATAACACATCTCGATCGCTTTCACTCTCGACTATAGCTCATTCATTTTGTTTTTAATGAGTTTTATGACCGATGCACTACAGCAGAAATTAGGTGCTGTTAATTAACTATACCCGGTATATCAAGCTCTACATAAGTACATACTTAACGAAACATAATTATTTTGAGTGACGCTTATTAACACGAATAATTGAAGTTTGTTTTCGTGTACGCTTGAACATCAGTCATCGTCGTTGTTCCTTCATGGACATCACCCAGTCACTTGAGGTCACGGCAGCAGTATGGGCCGCGCATCCTGTACTGGTGCGTGCTGCGATATCTTGTTCAGTAAACTATGTGGTACAGTAGATCGAGCAACGGTTTATCTCTGGGCCAGGTACTTGTGATGCTCGTATCTCGTCGCATACCTCAATACTTGACATCCGAATACCTTATCTCTAACTCAGTGCGCTCTCGAGCGATACGGAATAAACTTCGATCTGATACCGCACCTACCACACCAACTACTAACATGCCCATTAAACGAAACAAAGGAAATGAATATGTAAGTAGATGGGCCGCTGTGCGGTGGGTGCGGAGCGCAGAGATGCATGGTGACGTGAGGTTTACACGGTACTGTGGTGGAGTGCGGGTACTACAGCAGTGGCGCTGTTGCAGGCGAGCTGTCGGCGGCGTCGCGGCCCGAGTCGCGCGAGGCGCCCGCCACGGACGAGGACACGCACGACGCGCGCCGCCGCGCCCGCGCGCGCCGCACTGCCGAGCCCTTCTATGACGGTGCGTTGCAGCTCCTGCTATTCCTCGCTTCCCTCTCGCAGATAAATTTTTACTAGCTGAAGTACATCCGCAGAGTACGGCAGCGGGATGGGTGGCGGGTACGCGGACCCGTACTTGGTGCAGCGCCAGCAGTACCAGTACTACGAGCACCTGCGGCTCACCAACCCCGCCGCCTACATGCAGGTGTACAAGCAGCTCATGGCGGGCCACGCGCCGCCCGTGCCACCCTACTTCACACCGATCACAGGTATTCCTTCTATACGCAAAGGTTTAGCATTGTGTTTAACGGTGGCTAACTCTCCACTGACCACGAAAATGTCCCTCCTAGAGCTGGGCGGCGCGCAGTACGAGGAGCGGCGCGAGGACCGCGGCAGCGTGCACTCTGGCCGCTCCAGCACCACCGGCCTCAAGGGGAACGACACGTGAGTACACACACACACACACACACCGAAAACAGAATATATAATAGGTATCACATACCGCCTCCCATTCCATATACCAGCAAGAGACTTGTAAGGCCGAGTCATAGCCAAAGTACTTCCCAGCTGTGCCACATGGCTCTTGTACCTTGCCTGTCCGCCGGGGGCGAGCTGGACTCGAGCTACAAATCACACAACACGCCGCATTTTTTCATTGTAGCACAAATCTTTACATTTTTTCAAAATCTTTCATTGTAATCAAATACTTACACAAATCCAGCTTCAGCACATGCGCGGTGTAAATGTTCATCTGGTGTGGTATCGGTTGTGAGCAGCTTTCATAAAATTGCAGCGGTGTGCTTTCAAGAATATTTATATCATGATATGCAGGGTTGATTGTACTCAGTATCCAATACAAATAGCAAGCTGGACAGGTTGCGGTGGAGTGTGCCACAATGTATGCTCACACTCCACGCAAACATCATCTCTCACTCATTACTCGTCGTACTAATACCATGGCACGGCACACGGGGCGCAGTAGTGCGTGGGAGATGTGTGACAGTGGGTCGCGTGTGGCGTAGGTACTGCGGCTACCGGCTGGAGGCGGCGGGCGCCGGCTCGCTGCGGGACGCGCCCTCGCTGCGCACCGACCTCTCCGACAGGTACTCCACGCAACATACCTCACCGTGTACATAGAGTCTGCCATTAGCTCTACACTGCTTACTTGAAGCTTTCATCAACATGTCGCACATTGCACCTCATCTAGTATACTATAGTATATACTGTATATAGTACAGTGCTCCATACATGTATCGTGATCAATGTTACAAGTAGTCGGCGATAGAATGTATCGAACATTTGTCCGAGTGAGCAGATCGTATGGCTCAGTCGGCTACAGCTGTTGTTGCGCCCGCAGGGACCTGAACACGGACATGTCGCTGAACTTGCACCTGGAGGAGTCGACGGTGCGCTCCGAGAGGATGACGCCGTTCCGGTACTCCACGGCGCACACCAAGGTGAGGTGTAGGGAGAAGGTGAGTGGGCTGTGTCCGCGGAGAGCGTATTGGTTGACACGAGCGGTGCGCAGGGCAGCGTGGCGTCGCGCGACGTGGTGGTGGTGCCGGCGGGGTACCCCGCGGACGGCGCGCCGCCCGCCGTGCGCGTGCTGTCGCTGGCGGCGGCGCTGCAGCAGCTGCCCGACGCCGCCGACCTGGCCGCCTACCCCGGCCCACTGCTCAAAGGTACGCACTCTTGCAACAATCCCAAAACCCTTCTTGCCTGCCAACTATTTCATACACTTTTTCGACACAATAGCCTTCCCGCCTCTACTTTGGTCGTCCACTCCCGCTTTTTGTCCGTTCGCACCTGAACCCAGTCTACATGACGGTCACCCCTTTATTTAAACTTAGAAAGACAGAAAAATGAACCATCTGTCGATTCGCACTCGATAATTTAGTTAGAACATTGAGTTCCATAAGTATGGCGGCCGTTACAGGCGTAACCCACAAGAAGAGTGTGATCGAGTACTGCGAGGTGCGCGCGCGCAGTGCGGCGCACGAGGGCGCGCGTGACGTCACGGGCTACGTGCTGCTCTGGGACCTGCTGGCGCTCATGCTGCGCCAGAACGGGGTGAGTCCTGGCTTACTACGGTGGTACTGTCTAGCCGCTGAACACCGCTGGGAGGGTTCCTACGGGGAGCACTCAGTTCACTAAGAGTTCCGGATACTTAATCAGTGTTTGATTGTACCATCATTTTCGGGATGGATTTTCCTGGAAACCACGAAACCAACAGTTTACTGATTAGGAATTAATTAAAACAATTATATGTTTTCGATCTTAAGTTATATACATAACATCATAAGTTATGTAATTAAAAATAAACAAAATATTACATTTGAATTTGGAATCTGTCATTTTTATATAATTTTTCATTGTGTTTTCTTATTTTGGCGCCAACAAATTGTTCAATATTTTGCGATATTAAAATGGAGTGGGGTGATAAAGAGAACCGAATCGCTGTGATTGCATTACGCAAAGTGGGTATGGAGCCAAATGCAATTTTCAAAACTCTCCATACGCTTGGCATTAGTCAAATGTTTGTGTACCGGGCTATTAATAGGTACAATGAGACCTCCTCTGTTTGTGACCGAAAAAGATCTGGCCGTCCACGTAATGTCGGTACGAAAAAGGTGGTCAAAGCAGTAAGGGAAAGAATTCGAAGAAATCCTGTCCGAAAGCAAAAGATTTTATTTTTATTTATTTTCTCGGGAGATGAAGATAGCACTTAGAACCATGTCGCGTATTTTAAAAGACGACTTATGACTTGCAGCCTATAAGAGACGCACTGGACATTTTTTAAATGATAATTTAAAAAAGGATAGGGTAATAAAATCTAAACAACTACTGAAGCGGTACGCAAAGGGAGGTCACAGAAAAATTTTATTTACAGATGAGAAAATTTTTACAATTAAGCAGCATTTTAAGAAACAAGATGACCGTATTTATGCTCAAAGCTCTAAAGAAGCTTCTCAATTAGTCGACAGAGTGAAACGTGGGCATTATCCGACTTCAGTGATGGTTTGGTGGGGTGTTAGCTATGAAGGAGCGACTGAGCCATACTTTTGCGAAAAAAGTATCAAAACATCGGCACAAGTGTATCAAAATACCATTCTTGAGGTAGGTTGTTAAGCCCCTTAACAACACCATGTTCAATAACCAACAATGGTCCTTCCAGCAAGACTCGGCGCCGGGTCATAAAGCTCGGTCCACGCAGTTTTGGTTGGAAACGAACGTTTCCGACTTCATCAGAGCTGAAGACTGGCAGTCGTCTAGTCCCGATCTTAATCCGCTGGATTATGATTTATGGCCAGTTTTAGAGAGTAGGGCTTGCTCTAAACGTCATGATAATTTGGACTCCCTAAAACAATCCATACGATTGGCAGTGAAGAATTTTCCCATGGAAAGAGTGCGTGCTTCTATTGATAACTGGCCTCAACGTTTAAAGGACTGTATTGCAGCCAATGGAGACCACTTCGAATAAGCTTTTTATGTTTTAAATTGTTTTATATTTATGTATTAAACTTACATACTGTAAAAGTAATAAATGTTATTTGCAATAGAATAATTTTTTTTTTGTTACAGTATTTTACTACTAGCAGTAGACTATTCGGCTAGACTAGGTATATGTTGTCTGCTAGCCGTGAGGAGTGCCATAAGTTCGTTGTTACCGATAGTACCCGCACTGACAGCGCGAATTTTGTAGGTGGTGGTAGGCTCGGACATTGCCGAGTTGCTGATGAAGAACGCCCGCGAGTACCCGAGCCCTGCGCCGCCCAGCCGGCGGGGCTCCGCTGCGGCCTCCGAGCCCCGCGACCTCCACGCCGAGGACAGCTTCGCACCCGATCAGGCCGCGTCCCTAGTTGACGACTTGAGTGAGTTATCACTCTTGCTGCAGTGTAAAATTAATGAATTAGATTTCTGCGACATCTTAACAGTGTTGTGTGAAAATAAAAACAAATATTTTTCTACAAACTGAGCGAGTGTGTACACGCGAGTTTTGGATATTTAACTTAGTCTCGTGCCCTGGCGTGTAGATGAGGAAGCACAGAGCTCGCCGGCGCAGTCGGCGGCGGAGCAGCGCGCGGCGCTCGACCGTCTGCGGGAGCTGCTCATATACGGCAACAGGCAGGAGGCGCTCGGTATGTGGGGGGAGGGGGAGGGGGGCAATGACAGTTGCAGTGGAGCGGAGAGTGACGCGCGCGTGTGGTTGCAGAGACGGCGATGCGCGCGGGGCTGTGGGGGCACGCGCTGGCGCTGGGCGCGGCGGGCGGGCGGCGCGCGCGCGCGGCCGTGGCGGCGCGCTGGCTGGCCGCGCTGCCGCGCCGGGACCCGCTGCACTCGCTGCACGCCGCGCTCGCCGCCGGGCCCGTGCCCGCCGCCACCGTAACTATGCCACGCTATTACTGCCGCACGCTCTCGAACCTCGCTAATTCATACTGCGCTGCGTTCAAACCGTAGGGTTCTCGCCTCAATATGTAATACATTCATCTTTTCGAACAATAAAACGAGTTCTGACATGTCAAAGTCATGGTCGAAACCATTTATTCCAATTAAACCAAAGAGGTACTTTTAAAACATGATCAATTGAATTGTAATAACTAACCAAAAAAACAAAAACATATGAACATATTGTTGGTACATATACGATTAAAATTATTATTTAAAAAAATTGGCACATTTGTTCAAATCTACTTATATTTACTCTGTGGTGATTGACATATGCGAAAACTGAGTAGTTCTGGACATATTACATATGTACAATTGTTAACCTCTTTTTATTAAAGTCGGTTAATCTCGGAAAAAGATGATAGTTTAACATATATAAAAAAATGACAACTCTGGTTTTAATAACGGAGCGTTTAAGCAGCCGTATACAGTGTCTACGAGCGTCAGTTGGCAGGTTCCACAGTGTGTGTGTGTGTGTGTGTGTGTGTGTGTGTGTGTCGGTGCGTGTGTTTGCAGGAGTTGGTTGTGTGTGTGCAGTGCGTGGCGGACGAGCGCTGGGCGGACTGGCGGCCGCACGTCGCCATCATCCTGGCCAACCCCTCGCCGCGCCCCGACCACGACCGTCGCACGCTGCTGCAGTTCGGTAATATATGCACTTTTATATCTTCATCTTTGAAAAGTAAACATTTCAAGTTTATCCGACAATGTTCCTGTCGGTCTCATTTCGCTCGAGTATACATCGGTGCCGTGTGTGTGCAGGAGACAGCCTGGCGTCGCGCGGGCTGCTGTACTCGGCGCAGTTCTGCTACGTGGCGGCGGGCGAGCAGATGGCGCGCCACCCGCTGGCGCCGCTGGCGGGCCCGGGCGCCCCGCCCGCCGCGCCGCCGCGTCTGTCGCTGCTGCTGGCGGAGCCCCGCGCGACCACGCTGTCGCAGTTCGCGCACAACAAGGCCCTGTTCGCCACCGAGATCTACGAGTACGCCATGTCGCTGAACCAGGACGACTTCGTCCTCGCCGAGTTCCAGGTGAGCGGTCGTGAGTAGAGGCGGGGCGGAGCGAGAGAGCGAGAGAGCGAGAGAGCGAGGTAGTGAGGCGCGCTGTGTGCAGGCGTACAAGCTGGTGCTGGGCGTGCGGCTGGCGGACGCCGGGCAGTACGAGCGCGCGCTGGCCTACAGCGAGGCGGCGGCGCGCGGCGCGGCGCGGGCCCCAGTCTCGCGCCGTCTGCTGCGCGCGCTGGCCGCGCTGGCCGAGCGTCTGCAGCACCACGACCCCGCGCTGCTGGAGCCGGCGCCCGACGACGCCGACAGCGCCGACGCGTCGCCTCGCCACGCGCGCTCCTGGCTCGACGACGTCAAGCAGGCCGCCGAGGCCGCCGAAGCCGCCGAAGCAGCCGTCGCTGCCGAAGCCGCCGACGCTGCGCAGCCGGTCAGTACTGCGCAGTGCACGTTTCGCACATTTAATCAGAGACTACACTTAAAAAGAGTTTTTTTGCAATTTTTTTTTATTCCGGCACTACTAAAGTAATAGAACGCCCTTGTAGTAATACTATTATATCACCCAATTCTGCCATACAAAAGTAGACCAACAAATTATAATAAATATAGAATATACACTCCAGGGACATCCTGGAAGGAAGAAACAAACTTGAAACACTTGCAGTTAAGGTCCTAACTTCCTTAACAAGGTTCCTTGATTGGTTCAAAAGTAAGAGGATTTTTTTATTACTCAGTTATTTTCCTAAATTCTTAAACGATCATAAAAAACTATATAATTTTCTCTTACGTTTGTGGTATAATACTTTATAGCAATTTATGTAACGCACATCCTCTGTGTTGAGTTTGATCCTTTCTTGCAGGAACATTTTTTTAATATCAATATGTATAGTTATATTTCTATAAAATAAAATAAGTATTGTTGTATTGCTAACTATAACCCGTGCCGATAAAGAATGGAATTAGAAATGGCGGCGCATCTATTCACTTCTCGCTCGCACATTATTTCCGTTCTCACGTTCGTACCGACTTTTTTTGTCACTCGTTGGTACCGAATGACAAAAAGAAGCATAACAGACAGACAGAGCGACAGAGTTACTTACACACATATAATGTTAGTATGGATATTTGAGATTATTATTTTAAAGTTATAAAGCAAAAATAGTTTATAATCCAACCTTACTCTCTCCGCAACATAAGCTTTATTTTAATTCATGAAATAACGAAACACTTTCAACGGTAGCGATATTTTTTAACGTTATTAAGTTATTAGTTAAATTTATTGTTATTGCATTTTTATGCTGACGCTCCCAGCTCAATGAGCCGCCATTGCTAAACCCATTTATATTTATTGGCACGGGTAGTAGTTAGTGCATGTGCTTTGTGGCATGATTCAATGGTAGTGCACGTGTGTGTGTGTGTGTGCAGTGGGCGGACGCGGCGCAGGCGCAGGGCGCGGCGTACTGGCCGCCGCAGGTACGTGGCTTCTATCTCTACACACACTATCCCGAGCAGCTATACTACTGTTCCCATTTTTCACTTTCAATCAAATAATATACTGCAGAAAATAGCAACACTGCCCTGCTTCATTTTTTTATTTAGCTTTATAGTTGACATCTAATCGTGCGCAGTATTTTACTATCGTAGAATAACAAATCGGCCAGTAACATCGTTACTTTACGTTTTACACCCCACAGACAGACAAAGGGCAGATTCTTTCGACAACACATCCGGCTTACAGCTGTTATGACAATTCTCAACCGATTATGTCCGTGATGTCTGAAAACTGTTAAACTCTTGTTCTTATTTAGACGAGAAATACATTTAAAACCTGTGTGACTACTTGGTTTGTTTGTGCCATTTATAATTTTTCCTTCCTCATAAAGTGGCTCTTTTCCCATGGCAATTAGACACACAATGACATCTATCACTAGTGAGTAATAGAGTGTTTTTTATATAAGGTACTGCTTGAGTTACGCTTACACTTTCGCTAAAATTTTATCCGCGAAAAGCCCACAAACAAGAAACCTCATTTTTTGCTGATGCGCGCTCATGGGAAATCTGTTTATTTTTTCCGCCATTACATTTTTCATAACTCGTCTCTCTGATGGTTTTTTATTGTAGTTTTATTTTATTCAGAAGTGTGTTGAAAAACGTTCGTATGATACCTACACGCGTGTATGATGATTACTATCCTCGGCTCCTTGAGAGCCTCGCCATTACACACTTGTACCATAATGTACTATTTTCCTGTTGGCCCTAAATCACTATCTATATTATATGCCCCTCCCTCACTCAACGTTTTGTCGAAATGTGTTATTCGTAGAAATCAAACAATGCAACGTCAGTGGTTTCATTTTATTGAGCCGCAACCCTGTAGCACTGCAAGCATTTGAGTAAAGGGGACACGTTGTACTAACAGGGGGCGCAGCACCCGCAGCACCCGGCGCCCTACTCCCTGCCACCCGAGGAGACCCCCGACTATGCCACGCAGTACTACGCGCAGCAACAACAACAGCTCGGCCAGCAACAACAACAGTTCGGCCAGCAACAACAACAGCTCGTTCAGCAACAACAGCTCGAGCTACAGCAGGAACCTCTGCAGCAGCAGCACCAGGCGCCGGCGGAGGAGCCGCCTCAGTACGGCCAGTACGAGGACTGGGGCCGCGGGGACGAGCCCGGCCCCTACGCCGACCCCTACTGGCAGCCCGACTCCTACTCATACGGAGAGGTGAGTCCCCGCACACTGTCTACACTTGACTTCACACATGCTCCAGGGTCCCACCGAAGGTCGCCTCTACTCATCTGTTATCCAGATACAATTTTTGTAAAGATAATGCTAATTTGGTATTCAAATAACTAGAAGCAGTCACTCTATTTGTTAGAACAATCTTCACCTGGCTGTCAGAAGTCGGTCCGTAGACGGCGACCTTGGGTAGGTGTCGACTACTTCCTAATATTGTATGCTTTACAAATGCTCGTGGCAAGTAAACGTATAATTGGTAATTAGTCAAGCTCTATGCTCAGTCAATTGGAATAAATAGTCGGGATAGTGTCGCTAAACATGAGACAGTATGGAGGTCACGACACGGCCGGTCAGTGAGCACAAGGTCGCACGCGTCGCTAGTATAAGCCGAGTACCGAGGCCCGCACGGCCCGCGCGGCCGAACTAACTTGTGTGGCGCGGGTCTGCAGCCTGCCCTGGGCCCGCGCCGGCGCCGCGCCCCCGCCGCGCTGCGCCCCGCGCCGCGGCCCAGCGCGCCCCCGCGCCCCCGGCGCCAGGCGCCAGGCAGCCGGCCGCTAGTGTTCGGCGGCACGTACCCCATCGACGAGCCCACGGGGCCGCGCGCCGCCCCGCGCCCTGCGCCGCCCGCGCTGCCGGGCCCGGCCCACCGGCGCCGGCTGCGGGAGACGATCGAGCGCAGCCTGGACCGGTTCGAAGCCATCCTGGCGCGGCGCCGCGACACCTTCGCCATAGACGAGCCCATGGGGCCGGGCGAGCCGCCGCCCGAGGCCATGCCGCGCGACACGGACGCCAAGTACTACGTGGCGGGGCCCAAAACCTACGACATTGACGAACCGGTCCCCTACCTGTAACCCAGCATGTTTACACTGAATCTCCACTGCGCTGTGATATCTGTTGCTCTTAGAACGCTATTTAACTGCGATGTTCCTCTAACACCGCCGAGTCTATGTTACCCACTAAAATGTATTATTTGATCCGTCTCTCGTTTAATATTTATTGTTTACTTGATACTTGCTTAATATATTTTGTTATCGTTAAGTTTAACTCATACTATTGTTATAATCCATTACCAGTAATCGATTTGTAGTAAAACTTACAGCAATTAAATATTGAATAAGGACACGTGTTTTCCGTTTTTCACAAACTCAATCACAATGTAGTTGGGGGCCGCGTCTCAGGTACAGTAGCGTCATAGACTGCTGTGGGGCGGTACTCGGCTTATATATGACTGTGCCACTATCGCCGCCTTGTGTCTCACGGTAGAGGAGTCACTGCCGGCCGGATGGAGCCACCCTGCGGCCGGCAGTGACCCAGCCTACCTCGGTACACCAAGGGGACCTTATACAGGTGGTTACCTATACTATTACCTACTATACTGGTATTCATGATAGAGAAACGATTTTGCATGACGTAACAATGTAACCCTCGACTTGCACTGTCTCATACTGTGCAGTAGCAATTATATGTCATAATGATGTAAATATGAACAATGTAAGTTGGCAGTCGAGTGCCCTAGCTTGGTATATGCGGAGTGTATAATGCGGAGTGTTGTATGGCGCAGGGCGAGGCGCCGCAGATCAGTATGCCGGGCTCGCGCCGCGCCGACACGCTCGCCGCGCCCTCTGCCGCCCACGTGAGTACACCCCTCCCCCCACTGCTCCATCCATGCTCTGCTTCTATTTTACATAAACTTCCTCATCAACCGATCGACTTTTTAACACTTGCACGGACAGCAGGAGGAGGAGCCTGACACGGAGCCTTCGAAGTCGAGCGGCAACAAGAAGCAGGAGGGCAAGCCCAAGGACGAAGGCGGCAAGGAAGGCAGCAAGGCCAGCAAGGGCGGCGGGTGGCTGGGCGGCATCCTGACGAAGCTGTCGCTGCGCCCCCCCAACCAGATGATCCTGCCCGACGACAAGAACCCCACCGTGAGTGCCGTCTCGCCCGCGCCCACTCTGCTCTAGCCGCCACTACATACTTGTTGTACCGGTCCCCAGTGTACTGTTACTGTAGCAGACTAATCTTTAAATTAAAAACGGCACTGTTTGTATACGCTGTTACTTGTATATTGTATTGGGTATTTTTCTTGTAATTCTATTTTATTTGTATAATGTTTATAATATTGCCATGTCAGTATGTATAGCGCGCGCTGTCCGCCGCAGACTCGATGTATCCACCCATACATACGTTGGTATTGTTTTATATTCTAGTTGTCATATATAGGTAGGTAGTGCAGGTATGTGTATCTCATTTTATATTATATTTATGTATTATATGTATATATGTTTATTCAATAAAGCTATTCTGCGTTCGACTTCTTTGTTATATTATATTTATAATGCAGCGGTTACTTGTGTCCATGTAATCAATCAAGTTGACAGTGTCACATACGAGCGAGTGTGACACTGCCGACAGTAGTACAGCCATGACGTGTGTGTGTGTGTGTGTGTCAGATCGTGTGGGACCCGGAGACGAAGCGCTGGCGCAACCTGGACGGCGACACGGAGGACAGCGCGCCCCCGCCCCCCCCGCCGCGGGACCTGCCGCCCCCCCTGCAGTCAGTACTCTACTATCGCACTCGTCTGCTCATTATTCCTATTCTCGTCGGTTGACGTGAAGCCCGAATATTCTTAGCCGATGCAACTGTCGATGTCTTATGCAGAACTCATTATTAAAGATTCATTTAAAAATACCTATAAAAATTCACTTTGTTTTTAGCTTTAACTTTACTGTTCATGTAATAAATATATACTTAAATACTACTAGCGACCACCAGCTTGTAACACAATCACACGAACTATGTTTGTGTACAAACCGCGACCTTATTACAAGTAGATAAGCTGTTAAAGTGACGACTCGTTTCACAGAAACACGTCGGCTCCTCCGCCGTCTGTCGGCGCCCCACCCTCCGCGCCTGTCTCTAACATATTTAAAATGCAGAAAGGCAGACGTGAGTACTTTTCTAGCATACCTTGCAGATTGTGTTATAGTTGTTAGTATAGTATAATGGTTAGCGGCTCTGGTCGTGTGCAGACATCAAAAAGTCGTACGTGGACGTGCTGAACCCCGGCGGGGCGGGCCCCGCGGCGGCCCCCGCGCCGGCCCCCGGCCTGCTGGGCCCCAGCGTGCCGCTGCAGCCGCCGCCCAACTACTTCGTGCCGGCACCGCTGCCACAGGTACTCGCCGCTCCTTGTAAACGCATATTCCTAAAATTGGTTATTAACAAAACATTACATGCGCATGCTAGAGAGGCCCACGATGTAATAGCCTCAGAATACAGAACAAAACAGAATCCGCGTTCACTCATAATTACATGTCGTCAAATGTGTCCAAAAACAATACGTCAATCCCCCCGCCAGCCGCACTTCCCAACCGCATAGTGTCGCCGACAGTGGAACAATTCCCTTGGTTTGGGGTAATTTTACAACAGGAGGGTAAGATACGAGTATGGGATTTACTCGTATCTTACCCTCCTGTTACAAAATAAACTTACGATAAATGCAACAGACTAGTTGTTCACACATTTCATAGAGGTATCATAAAAGTTGACGATTTCTGGATTTGTTAATTTTTAGTTACACCTACTATACACAACAAATAAAATAAAGCTTCAATAAGTACAAAGGTTTTATTGCGTTCCCTTTTGCTGGTTTAGTTTCTTATATGTATTGTCTTTAGACTCCGAACTAAAGATTAGAAGTCTACTTACTTTACTTAGTTCCTGAGATTAGCGCATTCTAGCAAACAAACAAACAAACTCTTCAGCATTATAATTAGTATAGATATATCTTAGTAGGATATGCTGTTTTCAAACCACCTTTGTCATAAATATATCTCTTCAAAGTGAATTGGGCAAACTATGCTCTGGCTAGATGGTTTCCAAAATTAATCTAACCGTGCCCTTTGTATGATTTGTATTTATTTTTTTGTCAGGGAAACTAATATGACATAGGCTCCATAATGGACAAAAATATAACCCACAACAAATAATTAAGTGGGTAAAATTTTCTCCAAAAAATGACAACACTCACAAAATGGCCGCATCATTTTCATAGAAAAATAAATCGATAAAAAAAATTCAATAATTAATTAAATATACTATTGCAGTCGATGCTTGCAGATGAAATGTAATCTTATCCACTTTTTATGTAATTCCAGTCGCATTTTTACTCGTAGTAATAACACAAGACGGCATAATGAAATTAAAATTGATACTCGTAAATACGTCACGACATGCCACGTGCCAAAATTGACTAATCGTAGAAATTTCATACTATTCTAGTTGAGAATGGTTTTAGTTGCTTTAGTTTGAAGCGCGATGACGCCTTCTGGTTTGTTCTGTATTCTGAGGTAATAGCATAGTAATTACTAACAAATTGAGATATTTATCAGCGGAATCGTTTAACATAGCCTAACACCGACCTACGAGGGCTAGAAGTAGAACGTCCAGAAGCTATAGAAGTGATGATCCCTCCCTCCCCCACCCCGTCATACTCGGAGACCCCTCCCCCTTCCCCAATCCCTGACGTGGATCCAGAAGAGGTACCTGCATTATTATAAACATTTAGTAAACATCTCGACTGTTTGAATCCCACCGACCTTACACGAACTCCTCAAGTTATGTTTGTTATATTATTTTCCTGCTGGTGTTGCACTTTATGGCGTACGTTAATATTCTTGAGGTTTGCGTGACACTGGTGGAGGTACAGTAGCGTATTGTAAGGTAGAGTACTAACTAACGCACGTTACTGTCACACACGCTGCCAGGAAGCGGAAGCCCTGCCCAACGGCCACTAACCGTAAGCCAGCACTCGATTATACCAGTACCTAATGTAGTGTTCCATTGATGAGCGCCCCACTTACTTGCGGCGTACAAATGATTCAGAAATATCTTGTTATCGAACTAGCTTTTTTTCTCTGTTCTGTAAAAAGTAATTTTATGATCGAGTCCAAAGACGTTGGGATGGGTTGATGAGGCAGCGGTGTCGCGTGTTACAGAGCGGCGTGTACGAGCCGGGCGCCGCCATGGCGGACGGCCGCGACCCGCGCGACCACGCCGGCATCTAGCGCCCACTCTACAGCCCTACAGACACTCCGGCCTTCTTCAATACTTTCTTCTTATTTCCGACTCTCGCTGTGTATACTCAATTGTTAAGAAATATTTTATTTTATAATTATGTTATCGTTATGAACTGATGGTATTCCAATGTGACACAATGTTTTATAAATTACTATGTAGATGCACTTATTCTTATTATTTCTGTCCCTTTGTTGTCAATTTTTTTTCTTTTAGATATAGCTAAGTGTAGGTGTCGGTACCGTGTACTGTAGCGGGGTAACGCTGCTTGTATAAATCAATGAATGCCTTAGTAAGACAAGGATACGCGTCATGTGTATAAAGCATAGTCTCGGTATATATGTATATTGGAATGAGGACAGGCGGGGACGCGTGTTAGACATTGTATTATAATTAAAGTAATTCAAAACATGGAAAATATTTAATAAAATGTTTATGTTATGCTTATGGAGTGTTTCATTTCGAATTCCATTTTTGTCAATACTTTATCCTCAAGGGGCACTGGAATTGGCGTCGCGTTGGGTTACCATGGAGGTGGACGAGGTACGTTAAAATGTCGTTCAGTCGCGAGTGAGTGTCGGTGCCAGATGGCGGCGGACGCGGGCGATGCGCGCCCCTGTGGGGGGCGTGGGCGGTAGTGATACTTCTGTCTGCAAAGTAGAAGGTGCATTGCTTATCTCTTCAAATTTTATTTCTGTGTGATCAGGGTGCTCCTCATCTTCGAATTCGTTTTCGATTTTTCCCTCCGCTGCGCCCACAATCTGGAGGACGGCGGCGCCGATAGTGCATACGACGAATATCGCCATCAGTACGGAGATCACCAACAATGCTTTATTGGAACACACTATAGACTCGCGACAGATATCGCCGCGTACAATACCTTGTCAACACACACCATCACTCGAACGACAAACAAAACTGAAAAGTCATTAGAGTGTCATTTCAGAGATGCAAGCACTAGTCTATGGCCGCGCTCTATTCTTCGAATCTGCTATTTGCCAGTGTTTGCAGAACCGGGGTTTGAGGTTCGAGTCAAAAGTGCTTTCTATGTGAGTTACGTTGCGGGCCTAGAGTGATAACAAGTGTTTTTTATTAAAATGCAGTAGGTAGGTATTAGCAAGTAATGATACGATAATACAATCTCAATATGTAGTATGTGGATACCTATGTAGGGTATAGCTAAGAGACATACATAATTATAAACTTACATAATCACATACATACATAAATACATACACATACATACATACATAAATACATACATACATACATATAAATAACTCATACACAATAAGTCTAAACATTACACTAACAATCTATAAAAATATTTATTTGTATTTGTATAACATCTGTACACAGCCTTATACGCACGCACGCTTGTACACACCCTTAGCTATACCTACCGTCCAGCCGCTAGCGGAGCCCCGGCGCCCGCGTTGCCAAAATACCTAACGTTCGGGGAACCGCTCGGTATACGGCGCGCTGTCGCCGCCTACACCCCGCGCTCACGAGCCGCGCCCCTCGCTCGCCCTCGACAGTCCGCATCGGCCAGCGATCGCGCGCGCATCGCCGAACATTACTCGCGTAATATTTAAGTTAATGTACAAATATCTTATTAACTATTGTATGATAACTTTTGTAAATAAAAAATAAAATAAAATGTTTATTTGTTATAAAAAGGTAGATTACAAAATGTATAATATCTTAAGTCTAAGGCAAAGTACAATGTTTAACATCAACCTGAACTAGGTGCAAACCTGTGTTTCAGGTAAAAAAGTGCTGACATACTTCTACTACAATATTATTGCTTATCAAACTTAACTTATGAAATATAACAATTAATTTAAATAATTAGTATCTAAGTGTTACAGGTGCGCGTGTAAAATTACATAAACAGTCAGCTATTATTATATTATTTGCAAACCTCAAGTAATTCCTCAGTTTGTTCATATGTTAGGGTGTGTATATAATCAGTTAATACTTTTTTACAGCGATAATGGTTAAGGCTATTGTAGAATATGATGCTCAATGAAAGACGGTTGAAACGAGACTGATTTATTGTTAATTTACCCGCATTACCATAATATATCACATTTCCTCCCTCACGAGAAATTAATGTAAAACATAATGTAAGTTAAACAAAAGTGAAATAAAATAAACAGCTGCTTACAATGCTCATACGAGTGTATGAAAATATTCCTATCCATTATGTGTCTACCTGCATTACCATATACATAGGTTCTCTGTACTTTACAATATACTGCATTTATGTATTCTTACTACAATCACATAATCGACAAGATAATTTATTCATTTAATTTTTCGTTAAGTATTAACATTTGTAGAAACAAAAAAAATATTGTTATTCAAATTCATAGTAAACAATATGAAGGATTAGAAGGAAAAAAAAAACTACAACTATTACAAAACAATATAAATGACTACAAACAAAGCCTTAACAAGACAGGATTATAGCTCAACCAAGGATTCGTTATTTTTGTTATGTATTTTTAAGTTTCTCGGTTTATTATTGACCCAATTCCCGGAAATGGATTCATGTATAACAGGCGATTCATGTGATGTTTCGAGAGATGAAGTCGCTGTTGAATTCGGTGCTGACTCAAAATCTTCCTGATTATTGTTAACGGTAGGACTATCGGCGTCTGAGATAAGGGGATTAGAGGACCGTGTAAGTTTTCGTAAAGGCATTATTTGATCTATATGCTTTCGATATTCCCCGTGGTCCGTCATTACCTTATAAGTTACCGCTCCAGTACGCTCCGAGACCTGTCCTTCCATCCACTTGGGATTGTTTTTCGAGTAATTTCGAAACAAAATTTGTTCTCCAGGTTGAACTTCTCTGTGCATACCTCTAGCATGTATGACTTGTTTGGTCTGCGCAGCCTCGACTGCATCTAGAGGGTTGGCACGCAACAGATCTAAGCGCATACGCAGCCTTCGCCCCAGCAGTGCTACAGCCGGCTCGCGTTGGGTGCTTGAATGTGTGCTATTTCTATACACCAAAAGAAAGTTATTAATTGCTCGCTCAATGTTCTGACCTTCAGAAGCGGCTTTTTTAATAACTTTCTTGACTGTCTTCACAGCGTTTTCGGCAGCACCGTTACTTGAGGGATGATAGGGAGCTATTAAAATATGTTTAATCCCGTTCCGGGCTAAAAACAACTCGAACTCCTCAGATCGAAAGGGCGGTCCCCCGTCACTTACCAAAGATTTAGGGAGTCCAAATCGGCTAAAGCATTCTCTTAATCTATTTGATACTAACTGAGCCGAAGTACCAGTGCCCATTAAAAATACTTCGATCCACTTGGAGTGTGAGTCAAGTATCAAAAAGTAGTATTTTCCTTGGTACTGTAGAAAATCTACATGTAGCCTGGTCCAAGGTTCTGAAGGCCATACATACGGTACAGGAGTGTGTTTCGGCGGCGCGTCCAACTGCAAGCGGCAGGCGGCGCAGGCGGCGGCGCGCGCCTCGATGTCGCTATCGAGACGCGGCCACCACACGTAGCTGCGCGCAATGCTCTTCATACGCACAACGCCCACGTGACCCGCGTGCACTTCCTCCAGGATCTGCGCACGCAGACGCTCCGGCACCACTATCCTGTATCCCCAAACTATACACCCGTGATCTATTTGTAAATTTTCACGACGGTGATAATATGCCTTCATCTCTTCAGCATCTCCTATAAGTGGCCAGCCACTCATTATGTAACCGTATACTTTACACAAAATTTTATCTTCTTTAGTTGCTTGTGCTATGTCTTTGTGACTAAGAGGAAAACTATCCTCAACAAAATGAAGATATGCTGCGTCGTCTGGATCTTCCAACTTAGTTTTTGTTAAAGGTAATCGTGATAACCCATCAGCGTTGCAATTCTTTTCCGAATTTACGAATATTATATTAAAATCGTAAGCTGCAAGCCGCACCGCGTATCTTTGCAAGCGACTCGCTGCCGTTTGTGGTATTCCCTTTTTAGGACCGAATATGTAGCTTAAAGCTTTGTGATCGCTCTTAAGTGTAAACTGTCTACCAAAAAGATATTGATGATGTCTCGTGACTCCATACACAATGGCTAATGCCTCCTTATCCACTTGACTATATCGTTTCTCGGCATCATTAAGTGTGCGCGAGGCGCAGCATACAAGCCGCTCGCTACAGTCAGGGTAGCGCTGCGACAGCACTGCGTCCAGGCCGTAGGCACTGCTGTCTACTGCCAGAACCAGCGGCAGCTCCGGAGAGTAGTGCGCCAGCACCGGATCACTTGTCAATCGCATCTTTATCTCCTCAAAAGCAGCATTACACCTCTCTGACCACACCCACTTAACACCCTTTTTTAAAAGGGCGTGTAATGGATGTAGAATCGTACTAAGGTTGGGTATAAAACGTGCATAATAATTAATGAAACCTAATAAGGCGCGTAATTGAGATACATTTTCCGGGATAGGCATTTTTAATATGGCATTAACCTTTGATGTGTCAGTGTAAAGGCCATGTTTGGTTATTCGATATCCCAGGTAACAAACCTCATCTCTTAGAAATTCACACTTAGAAAACTTTATCGTTAATCCGGCTTCTCTTAGTCTAGACAACACTTTCTTTAAGTTTTCCAAATGATGAGATTTATTCCTGCCACTCACACAAATATCGTCAATAAATGCTACTACATATTCGAGACCGCTTAATGTTTCGGAAACAATTTTCTGAAAACTTTCAGGTAAACACTTAAGTCCAAAAGGAGCCCTGCGATAAATAAACGTCCCTACATGTGTAGTAATCGCTGTGAGCGGTTGTGACTTTTCAGATAATTCAAGTTGCATAAATGCGTTTTTTAAGTCTAATTTAGTATATTGCTCCCCACCACTTAGCGCTGCAAACATTTCTTCAATTTTTGGCAATGGAAAATGAACATCTTTTAATAATTTATTAACCGTCACTTTATAATCGCCACATAAACGAATAGAACCATCAGGTTTGATAATTGGCACAATTGGAGTTCCGTAATCAGATCTATCAACCTTGTAAATTATACCTTCGTCTTGTAAGCGTTTAAGTTCACTTTCCACTGGCTCGCGCAATGCAAGTGGGAGGGGGCGTGACTTGCAAAATATCGGCGTGTTATCAATCAAATATAGTGTCAATTTATGTTTATAAGTACCAATTTTATCAGTGAACACTTCTGGGAATTCTTGTTTTAATTCAATCACAACGGGATCAACATCTTCTTTAAGATTAAATAAATTTAATGATTTTAATTTAAGTTCGCGCATCCAGGTGCGGCCGATAAGCGGCGGTCCGCCGTTTTCGATAATAAACAATGTAAGTACGGTATGCTTCGCTCCCGCACAGCTGACTCGCACAGATACTCGACCTAACGGTACTATTGCGTCACCTGTATATGACTTCAATTTAATATTAACTTTTTCAATTGGTAAGGTAGAAAGATGTTGATCATAAAACAATTTCGATACCGCCGATATCTTGCTGCCCGTGTCGATTTCAAATAATACTTTTATATTTTCCACAATTAACTCACAATAATAGGGACCGTCTTTAACATTTTGAACTGTCTCACCTTTAATAGTATACAATCCTTCAAACTCCTCACTGCCAGACTCACCGGAGTCTGTTTCTATGAAGTTTTGATATTTAGAACTAGACCGACGCGCACTCACATTTTTATTATCACATACAGACCTTAAATGGCCCTTCACTTTGCACTTTTCACATACATACGACTTGTATCGGCACCTATGCGCTGCGTGGCCGGCCCGGCCACAGCGCCAGCACCCATCGCGTCGCGGCGCCGCGTCGTCTCGTCCGACGGCGTTGGCCTGGTTGGCCACGCTCACCCGGTGCACGCGCTCGCCCGCGTCTGCCTGGAGTCCCGCCGGACCGGCTGCTGCCCACAGCGCGGCCGGTGCCACGGCTTTAGCCGCGTGCTGCTCAGCCGCCTCCAGCGCCAGCGCCAGCCCAACCGCCTTCTTGTAGTCGAGAG